AATATCACAAAGTGTGGCATGAAAGTATATGAGATAGGGGGTTATAGGGTTAAAATTTGTTTAGTTAGGTAAACTGCCTCATTCCCAGTTGATATCATTTTTAAAACTATATAAAAAGGTATGTAACATGAATTTTTGTTTGTATTCACAGAAATGGATCAAGGAAGCTTTGGTTCAAACCAGCAAAGTGCTTATACTGCAGTCCCTATGGTAATGCAGTCATCATTTGTGCAGCAACCTGTCTACCATAGTTACATGCCTGGAGCACAACAAATTCAAAATGTATATAGTCCAAACCATACACTCAGGTAGGTACAGTCAGTCCTGTCATTTATGTAACTTTGTGATACAAGAACATCAACAACAGCAATACACAACTCTACTGTATAAAGTGTCTCTAATACAGTCTCGAAGATTTATTATAACTTATAGACTAATTTCATTTGATAATCATATTGAAATAGATAAATAGAACTGAAATTGACATTATATGTATTTGACAGCCAGGGATATTGTAATTTGTATATGTATATGCAGCTTTGAATTTTATTTCATTGTGCATGTTGTGTATAAAGTGTAATACATAGGCCTATAGATATAAGTTATAACATAATCCTGTTGGTAGTGCAAATGGCAAAATTTAAGAAATTGCAAAAGTCTATAGTGAGTTGCAACAGTGATGATGATGTTGTTGTTGTTGTTGTTTTCACTTGATTGTGTGTGTGTGTGGGGGGGGGGGGGGGTGGTTTCTTCGCAGTTGTCATGTTTACAAAATGCAAAAAATATGCTCTCCGTTTCGACCGGCAATCAGGTCATCATCAGACATTCTGCCATGAATGTGACGGGGCTTATTTTCACCATAACAATGCACAGCCACATCAATTCCTGTAGCACTACTTTGAAGGGCCTGCTGCATCAAGTTGTCCTTTGTGGTACTCGTCATTGTTACTGACCTTCACTTCTCGCAAGGTGGTACATGTGTTTGCCCGTGTTTCTTTTCTTTTCATCTTAAATTGTTTTTGTTTTTTGGTAATGCCTATGCCTTTGAAGTCTTTTTGATGCTGATTTTAGATATCGAAGTGGTCTTGGTGATAGGAAGTGTCCTGTTATACTTCGGACCTTTTTCTCAACAGAAACTTGCAGTGAATTGTTTATCTGGAGAGTTTTTGAAGCTAAGCTGCCAACAACAAAAAACTTTATTTCATGAAAATCTGTTTTCTATTTCTGAAGATATGTTATAATTTGTAATGCCATTTTTTTATCTAAAATTCTGTTGGCCGAGCCTGATTTTCCGCAAAGTGGTCACCCTTTAAGAAATGCTCCTGTATCAATGAAAATCTGTTTTCTATTTCTGAAGATATGTTATAATTTGTAATGCCATTTTTTTATCTAAAATTCTGTTGGCCGAGCCTGATTTTCCGCAAAGTGGTCACCCTTTAAGAAATGCTCCTGTATCAATGTGAAATGTAAGATACATTGATTTCTTGATTAGTATTACTTGTTCAACATAAAATTACCAAAAAATGTGTGTAAATGTTCTTTTAAATGAAATTTTATGTTCATTTAGGTGTCACCCCAGTACAGAATTAGACCCAGCCCGTTGTAGTCAAGAAAGTAGTTCTTTTAAATTTTGAAAATGTTAAATTTTTAAAACCTTTTGATATTAAAATTTTTATGCCAATACATTTTAACTTATTTTTGGTATTTGAAAAAATATAATTATTTTAATAACTTTGGAAACAAATCCAAAATGACCTGATAGTATCTCCATTCAATGGACTCCACTAAGATTCATAGCAATGAAATTGTCCTTATTTGTGGAGTATAGATATACCAACGGTTGTACCTGTAATAATCTGAACATTTAAGATCTCTGTTTTCATTGCTGCAGCAATCTGTCTTGCAATGGTAGGCATACTTGTGTAGAGTTTGTTTCCATAAAATAAGATGAGCCACTGTATCGATTGAATAATTATCAAACTGACTTTATATAATAATCCTCCCAGGGTATTTAAATGGGAATATTTTATCTGATTAAGGTACAATTTAATGGTGTGAAAGGTTTTAAAACAGACAAATTACAGGGATCAGATTCTTAGGTAAACTTGACACACACATAAAAAGTCCTTTTATATAAGGAAAATGTTGGGCTGACTGAAACAAGGTCAGATAAGAATGGAGTCATTGAATTCAGTGGGTCCTTCATACAGTCTGAACTGTAGTTGCAAGATTTGATTTGGTCAATGTTTCTCCTTTATAATTTTTCACCATGCACTCATGATGCACTCAACACAGGTGTAACTGTTGCTGGATAGTTCCATTGCCTGTTTAAGATGGCAAAAAGAAGTTCTACTGCTTGTGAAAATACTGTTTTTGAAGCTCACATAAAGAAATGAAATTACAACTTAAAATAGAATGAACAGATTTCTTCTTTTTAAGTTATTGCTTTAAATGTTTTACAAATATTTCAGGTCCGATGTATATCAGCATCACGCCCAGTTACAGTCAGTGGCACCTCAGACTGCAAGTCCTCAAGGATTGATGTTTTTGTCAAATATACCCCCTCCTTTTACCCAAGTGCCCCCGGTATTAACATAAGTATAATTTAAAAATTATAATCTACAAGTATTCAATAGATATAAGATCTTTAAGAATAAAATGATTTAGATGAAATTTAATGGTTAATAAAAGATGCCACAAGAATACTCAATCGACATTTTATGAATTACATTATGTAAAATTATTAAGTAATCTTATTTGTCAGATATGTTGTGCTCTTATTTAATGTCTGGCGTGTTTTACAATTTCTATTGCAGAAATATGTTTGAAATTTATAAATACTTAGGCCAATGTTACTAGTTTTTGAACCCATCTTTTTTAACCCATGTAATAAAGTATATTTTCATAGATTTATTGACTATAAATTCATTATTACAGCGAGGTCAAGCAATATATTACCCTCCCACTCCCCCTCAGCAGTATATGTCCGCTGCCCAACAACCAGACACCGCATACCTACCTGCAAGTTTACCCCCTTTGATACCTCATCATCCTCATGAAAACTTGAGTATACCACCTTCCTCAGTGGCAGCACAATGGTCGGTAGCTGCGTCACCACCATCACCCTTCAGATTGCCTGTAACACCAAGAAGGTATTTTGTATTATTTAGATGATTCTATAATCTGATATATCACCAACAACATTGTATTAGAATTAAGTCAATATGACAGCATTTTATAATTATCTACACTAAATGGGAGAATATTTTCTCTTTATTATTTAAAACATGAGAGTACTTTTGCAGACCTACTTTTCTAGCAGGGCAACTTCCCAATATAACAAAACAGTTATTAGTTTAAACAATTCTTAAACTAGAATCTCTTTACATAATCTTTTCAACATCAGAAAACTTGATGTTCTTTTTCCTGTATGATATAAATTTTGCCCTTATAACTTTCAACACTTCAACTTTCAGGGTTGTCATTCTAAAAACTTCAAAACTTAGAAAGCACTTTTGTTGTATGTGATAAAACCAAAAATGACTGCCTAAAATTCAAAACACACATTCTCAGAATTTTTTTAATGGCAACACAGCTTATACTGCAGTCACTTATTTTCTGTTTTCAGTAGCCCCCTGCCAATCAGCTTTACACCAACTGTGATACCTTCTCGTCTGAAATTACTTGCAGAGCATTATGCAGTATCTAAGAATGGTAGGACATTGTATGATATCATCTTTTTCCATGTAAATTTATATTTTTGAGACAAAAATCTTGAAAACACTTAAGATAATTTATTTACTAAATGAATTCTAATTTTAAAGAAGAGAAAAGTAACAGTATAATTGTATTGAGCAAGTATTTAAGAAGAAAGCAGAGTAAGAGTTAAACTATATTTTAACGCATCATGTCAGGTGTTTAGTTATTCCTGCGAGCATTTAATGGGCAAGGTGACATTCCCCTAGTGTTGGCAGATTACCACACATCATTTTTTGTGCTACAACAGGAATTTTTAAATAGTTGCTATTTCATCTGTCCGTCTGTTTATCCATTCATCAGTCCATCAAGCTGCTTTATTTAATTTACATCTCGCCAACTATTTTGTGCAAAAATTCATTTAAACTTGATTGATTCATTTCCAACAAAGAACAGCAGCATATATTAACAGTGTGTTCTGGTTAAATTATTTCTCTAACAATCAGAGAGCATTGCCTTTTGATTTCTTTTCATCTGACATACTTGTACAGACCATATTTCAGGTACTTTGGAATTCATGAAAACTCAATGCAATGCATCTACATGTACATACTAAATAAAGATGTACATATTATTAGGGCTGTCATTGATGGACAATTTTGTATCGATATATCAAGAGACAAATATCAACAATATATCGACTTTAACAGTAGATACAATGAAAAACCTTTAAATGTGTGTTGTAAATTGGAATCATGGTGTTATGCATGCTTGTATTAGACTATAAATACTATAAACTAACAGAAAGTTTCTTTTTTTCTGTTATTTTTGTCACTGACAATTGAAAACAAAGTTTAAAGTTCAAGAAAACTGGAAAAAAGTGACTTCTCTTATTAGGCAAAATTGAGAGGTATAATTTACTAACAGAAATAAATAAATTTTAGCTTGTATCGATATTTGAAAATGTGTACATTTTGTATTGATATTGTATCGGATGATGAATATTGATGATATATGGATATTGTGATATTCAATGACAGCCCTACATATTATTGTTTTGTTCAATTAAATATAACCAAGCTATAATCAATTATGTATCTTACATAGTCTTATGTAGGGAGAAATTAGGGTGACAGAATCATTATGCAATATCTAGTCTATGACTTGTAACTAAATGATGCAGAATGACTTAAGATACTTCATGCTCATACGAACATATCAATCAGATTTTGAATATTAGGTATGTACATTTGTAATTATATATTCAATTTATTAGAAACCATATTATTGATTGATTATGATGTTAGAAAAATGTTTTATTTAATGATTTTTTTACTGATTACAGAAAAATCAAACACTTCATCCGACATGTCCATGAAAAGTTCCTCTCAACACGGAATTAAAGTAAGAAATTCAGTGACTGCAACAACAGCAGATTCAACTAAGTCAGTTATCTCACCATCCTCTGGTCCAAATTTTCCAAAGTTATTATCAGCTGATAGAGGGATTGATATCAAAAATAGTGAAGATGAAAACAGTAAAACTGATATACAAAATCTAGTTGATTACTATGTTAATAAACATGTTGGTTTAAGTCATCCAAAAGTTGTGGATAACGGTCAAGTTAAACAAATGGACAAAAGTGAAACGGAAGCATCTTCTAAAGATAATCTCAACAACAACAATAATGCAGCTGAAAGTGATACCAGTGATCTTAAGAAAGGTCTCAAGTTTCCATACAAACTTGAGGAAAATTCAAATGTCAGCAGTAATGTGATGAAGAAAAACAGTGATGTGCTTAACTGGTTGTCAAAATCAGAAAGTGAACCTGGTGAAGGTTATCCAGATACTTTGGTAGAGGAACTCAGCAATGAAAGTGTATTGAAAGAGGTTAATGGTGATGTAACATTGGCAACAGGAGAACAGGAGAGACATCATTGCCCCAAGCTTGATGTCAGAAAGAATTCTGTTGATTCATTAAAGTCGGAAGTAGCACTTGTCAATGAATATGTGGCTACTAATGATAATTACGCAGCGAAAAAGATAAACAATTTCTTTGAAGCTGGTTCTGATGTTGTTATAGAAGAGCATGAATTATTATTGCAAAATATGACAGATGATTTTAGCGAATACAGTCAAGATAATATTCTGATCGAGGACAATGGTGGTATCAGATCAGATATTGTTCATGAAGCTAAAGAAAACATTCTACATGTGAAGAAGGGAAAAGATGATTCGGATGATTTTGAGAAATTCTTTTTTAAAGTGACTGCATCAAGACATGGGATATCCATTTCAAGTCCTGAGAAAGAGCCTGATGTAGGTAATGGTGAGGTTCCAAATAGCTCTCAGTCTCTGAAAACTGTAAATGATATAAGCAGTGTTGAGGGTTCACAGAGTGATGTTGGGGATGCATTTAAGTTGAAGGCTTCTCAAAGTGGAATCATAGTGCAAGATCCCAGAGAGAGGGCAGAATTTTCCACAGACAGTGATGCTGAGCTAGACCAGTCTTACAGAGATAGGGCAAATTTGCAAAGAAAAAGACATATGTCAACCCCAGTTCCATCTAATATAAAACTTGATCCAAAAATACCAGAATTTAAACCTAGGTCAAGGAAGAGGGCAGTATCATGTGGACTGAGAGCTGAGGCAATTTCTGAAGTGGATCATAAGAAGGAAATTGACTCGACTATAAGAGCTGATGCACCTGCCTTTGTACCAATTTGGAAAACAACTGACCCAAAGAAAAATAATGACATTATTCCATCGGAACAAAAAGAACAGAAACAAGAAAGTACAGCTCAAATTGACAATACACCATTGTCAAAAGAGTCAGCATCTAACACAACCGTGGCAATTCAAGCTCAACCTGATACTTCTGATGTTAATGTAGAAACTGTTAAAATAGTTACAAAAGAATCCAGCACAGTTACATGCACTTGTGAATGTAGAGATGTTAGTGTTAACACTGTTACTGATGCAGAAATAGATGGTGAAAATGAGGTTGTTAAAAGATCATCAAGAAGATTCTCCAGTAAAGCAACTAATACAGATATGTCCAACAAGAGGACGATTGGAACACAGCATTCTACAAAAGAGAAAGTAAAGCCACAAATGAATGATCAGGACACTATGACAGAATTATTGCCAGAGTTAGGTGAAGGCTGTGGAGGACCTTGTTTAGATGTTTTAGGAGCGGCACAGATACTGCAGAAACAGGCTGTTCTGATGAAAAGTATTGGGCAGATTCAGGTTTGTTAATTTTCTTTTTCATGTGACAGTGAGTGTTTATGTCTGTATATATAAATATGTGTTGATGTGTGTAGATTTATCATTTTCATGAGACTAACTCAAGTGTGATTTTTTTTTTTTTTTAGCAAACCATAACAGACCAAAACAAAAAGCACAGAAAGTATCTGTTTTCAAACATTCTTTTATAATAATTTCATTTGAATTTAGAAACCACACATAATTTAATAAACTGGGTGTTGTTACAATTTACAATGTTTTCAGTAATATAGATGAAATTCAGCACTTGATTTTCCTGCATATAGTAACATCATTCAGATAATCAACACAAAAAAGATTAACATTGTTATAATTGTAACCAGGTGAAAAAAATAATATTCATTACCATTTATTTATAGAATGAGATGAAAGAATCAGAAGTGACAGAGGGAAAATTTCAAATAAAAGACAATGTTCTTAAGTTTGTTCTGGATGTAATTGGACTGTTCACTGAAAGGTAAGCTGTGCTGATTTTTTTTTAAGTCTGCTTTAGTTGGGGATGATCTATTGCTTAACACGTGATTCCTATTTCAATATTCTAAAATGAATAACAAACAGATCTTTGTCAGATGTGCACTGATGTGCAGGTTGGCCTAACTATACTGGCAGGTAACCTCTGCTGTTAGCACTTTTGAGAGTTAAGTACTTCATTACTAGGTATCCAGAATTTTGTAATTTTATGCTAATACATGGTTTATTTGTGATTTCAACAGGAAAATGTCGGGTTACTATATATGTTAAATGGCTGTTCCAAAAGGTGTTGATTCTTATAATTTATATAGGTTATTTAATGTTTATGTATAAAGGGAATGATTAACTTAGAAGTAAACAAAGAGACCAGTCCAACCTTAATTTCTGAATTTTGAGCAAAAATCCTCAATCCTTAATGCTATTTGTCAGATGCCGAAAATTCTGTAAAAAAAATACCCTCCAAACACATTTGTATTCACATTCAGTTATTGGTTTAACTATGATTGTGGTGCTTTCAGAGTTGAACCTTGCAAGTTGAAGAATGAGATAGAGAGAAAACTCCAGGTGTTTGTAGATGAATCATTAATTCATGCAAAGGTATGTATAAATGCACATGTTGATGGTAAAATTGGATAAAAATAGAAAAATGTTTCTTTACATATTTTGAATTTCTGTTCGTAAATCCAGTTTCTCACCAAAGTAATAACAACAAGTTATTAAAAGTGCTATTTACACAAGTCATCACCTTATTGCAGTAACAGGTTAACTCCTATTAAATTTAATAGGAGATAACCTGTTACTGTACTAAGGTGACAAAGTGTTTTATTTTAAAACTTAGATTGTGAATTGTTTTCTATGAAGCATTAATAAATAATGTCAAAGATATTTTTTACTTAATACAAAATCAATGTAATTAGTAATTTAGATGTTATGTTTAGGCGAATAACAATACATGTTTATGGATAAGTCCAGTTATAATACACTTCAACATTTTACTACAATAATGACATATTTTTATCTTTAAAAAATATTTGATGTACTTTACTTTGTCATTTATCCGTATTTTATTAACTAAATCTTAAGTACATGTATTATCAAACAGACATTTCTTTATGGTGGCATTCAAAGGAATCTCTGCATAATTATGTACTTGTGTTAGATGCATGTGTCAAAATGTTCAATGTTTTCAGGGTGGATGAATTTGCAGTCAACATACAAACATGTAATGATATATAAGGTTGTGTCAAACTTGCCGTGTTTTGTTGCTATGGAAACAGTGTATGCTTTATAGTGTAGATGTTTTTGCTATTGTACATGGACTTCAATCACAATATATGCTTCATTGGTTGAACACCTCTAAATACTTCCTTTCTCTATATAACTGCTTTTGATAGATATATAAAAATTTTATTTATAGTGTAACAATTATTTGCTTTTTTCCTGTAACAAAGAACACATTGTGTAATCATTTAAAAATAATAATAAGCACTAAAGATAATTTAGATTAAATTGAACTGGATTTTTTTTCATGGAGGGGGTGGGGGGCTCCCAGGGAAATGGATAAAAGTCCTCTGATCTAAAATTGACAAAGTCTTCCCATTTTACAGTTTAGAGCTATAAAAAACATTTCACAAACATAGGTTGTTCTGCCTGTATCGCTAACCCAAAATGATTCCATACTTCTGACTTAAATGTTCTGCCCTTAAGGTAACTGAAAATACATTAAATTTTCTTTTTGGGAAACTGCTATGGCAAAAGCTGTATAAAGCATTCAGCTGGGGTGAAAAACAAAACACACTTATTGAAGAATTCTGACTTTTTCTTACAAGTGATCTAGGATCATCATGGATTTATTTTTGGGGTCCCTACTTTATCCATAAGATATACTTGGTTTTGGTCGATATAAAAATTATATCTTATAAAACAAGAAATATTACATGAACATGATATCTATCTATTACTAACTTTGGATGAGTGATTTGTGATTAATAATGCTCTTATTTACAAGTTTAGTAATTCTTAGATGTAACATATCCTTTTCTTTTTATTTGCCTTTATAATTCTGACGTCACTGTCATTTGGCAAAAAAAATATCCTTTTTTTTGTAATAATTCTATGCTAAAATAATATTTGCAACCAGCATCCTACATAATATTATATGCTTTTATAGAACCAGTTATATTTCTATTCTCCTTGAAAATTTCCTGTATGATAAACAGTTTGCAGGTTTTTCTTTCCATATTTCGTTATTCTTTCATACATTCTTACATGTACAGTTTCTTGAAGCATCTTCTTTTATCAGCTTATATCTTAGACATTAGAATTTAAAAGTACAATCTTTTGAAAAGCTTCACCAATTCATAAGGTCAGGGGTTTAGATATTGTGTGTGTTGCATTTTCTAATGAAAGTGTTGTTTGTTCACCTTCTGTTTAACATTGGCTCCACACTGGTGGTTAACACAGTTGATTTTTTTTAGATATAGGTAGAACCTTGAAAAATCTTTTCAGTATTAAGGCCTAGAGCTTAGATATTGGGGGATACATCTACCAAATATGTTTAAATCATGACCCTGATGGGCACTTGATATAACTTTGTGTCATGTAGGAAATTAAAAAAAGTTCTCTTGATAACTGGAAGTCCTAGAACTTAGATATTTTGTGTTTATTTGTGTCTATTTAAATCACAACCTTGGGGGTCACACAGGGGTGGGGCCTATTTTATATAGACTTACTTCAGGAGAATCTTTAAAAATCTATATTTTTTTTAAATGACAAGTCGAGTTAAGATATATGATGCATGGTTATGTCAGATTTACTTCTATTTAGTTTACTTAAAGACAATAGATGTTAAGTGGGTAAAAATGATTGCTGTCTTGTTTCTCTTAGTGAAGTCATGTCAATGATTTGGTAAAAGCAATATTGTGGTGGTGGCAATCATTTCTATGACCCATTTCCTTGATTTACAAAATTTTAGTTATAGATTGCTTAAATATATCTATTATAGCAATAAGTCTGTTAATGTTTAGATATATGAAAGAAGATAATGGCTGTTGACATTTGTTTTTCTATGACAATTTGATGAGATAATGCATGAAATGGTATTATCCTTCTTTACTAAGTCTGTTAATACGATGAAATAAAAAACATAAACCACTAGCTTAAAAAATGCTTTTCAGATCTATTTATATGTTAAAAATGCCCATTTAATAACAACAAAAAATCAAACTCAAGGGCAGATAACTCGAAAACAAGGTCAGTTACCCACAACTGCTTTTCTCTTTAAATGTTTCTATTATAATACTCTGGTATCATGCAGGGTTTGAATAAATTATACATGGAGTAAACAGTATTCATTCTGCTATATGTCTATATGTCACTATAGCATATGCCTTAAGTAAATAAAATAGTAAATGAAGTATTTGTAGAAATTTTTACTGTCAGTTAAACAAATTTAGCAGGATGAATATTTAAGGAATCACTGTATTTGTTGTGGCTTAGTAATCCTTGTTGTAAACATTATATAGGCAGATAGATAAAATGCTTGTAGTTTTCTTACACCAGAGGTTTGCAGTTATATTTCATAGCATAAAATTTTATGAAAATAAGTAATAATTATAAGTAATACATGTATGTCTTTTTCAAATTTTACACAAGTATAAACTGAATTGCAGATACCGTTTAAAAACATGCTATACTTTTATTTAATATTCTGTAACTGTTATAATTTAAAGTGTTAACATTTTATTGACTTTGTTTAAATATTTTAAAATTGGTAAATATTTAAGATTACCTGCTTGTGTTGTATTTCAGTCAGTTTCCGTGGATACAGTTTCCTCCAGTCAACCAGGTGATATAGGTGAAGGTCTACCAGACGTCTCCAGTCATCTACCTGGGATACATGAAACAGAAATAGGAATACACAATGGTACCAGTCTAGACTCACAAGAAATTGGAAGTGCATCTAGAACCAGCCCAGAGACACAAAATGTTAGTGGTGTATCTAGAACCAGTCCTGAAAAGCAAAAATATTAGCAGTGTATCTAGGATTAATCCAGAAACTCAAGAATATAAACGGTATATCTACAACCAGTCCAGAGATGGTTTGATAGTAGTAGGGCATTTTGAACTAGTCCAGACACAAAAGATATAAGTATTGTATCTAGAAGCAGTCTAGAGGCACAAGATATAAACAGTGTATCTAGAACTGGTTCAGAGATGCCAGATATTAGTGGTGTATCAAAAACCAGTCCAGAGACGCAAGATGTCAGTGAGATATCTAGAAGCAGTCCAGACACAAAAGATGTAAGCAATGCAGCTAAAACTAGTCCAGATACACAATATATTAGCAGTGTCTCTAAAACCAGTACAGACAAACAAGGAATCAGTAGAATATCTAGTACCTGTCTAAGCATTCCAATGAGTGAGGTATGTATGATGGATTTTTCTTTGTTTACATTTGGTTTTAAGTTGCATTGAATTTTCAGTTGTTACTAGTGAAGGAATTTCTGAGTATTCGTTGCTAGTTGACTTGTGCTGTTAAAAGCAGAAACAGAAAATTTCACTCAGCTGCTTGTAATTACAAATAAAATTTAAGAGAACTTGATGCAGGACAAGTAGAATAATGTTGCCTGCACATTGGATTAAGAAGCGAGTTACTTTGAAATTATTTTTCGATGCCTGAAAAGATTCATTATCACATTTTATCATATGTTTCAGCAGGCAAAGATAAGTTTCCAAATAACCCCATTGGTCAATTACAGGATATAATTATTTGAAAATAATATAAAACTATTTTTTAACAAAACTGAAGTTATAATAAAGTTTATTTTTAATCACTTATGCATGTACCATCTTCTGTTTTGTGAAAAAAGTGTAAGTTTTGGATAAATTAGGGCCTGAGGTATGCTTCTAATTCCTTTATTATACAGAATATTTACCATTTAGTATTTATAAATTTCAGAAGAAAACTCCAAAGGAGGTTGGTTTTATGGAAATTGAAGATGATACGGATGAAGATGATGATGATGATGCTAATGAAACTGTAATATCAGTAGATAAAGTAGAAGATGTTACTGTGAATAGTGTGAATAAGGAAACAGAAGATAAACAAATATTGAAGGTAATATCATACATGATGAGACTCAGAAAAGTTGAATGATACGGATGGATACAAAACTTTCAATCAGTTAATCTCTGACATTTCTGGATTTATATGATGGGCTTTGCACTGCTTAATAATTGGAACAGTCCATCAGAACTTTAAGGGATTTTAGTATAGAAATACTGAAATTAATTAACCAATAGTATACAATTGTATTTCCTGGTCAGAATGCATTTCCCGGTCCGGCATAAACTTGTCATGGAAAAAGGTTGTTCCTTTTTTTCAGCATGTTCAATTAAAACTCTTTATACTTTTAAAAAAATCTGGCAGTGGTATTTTTTTACTTAATTGGTAAAGGACTTAGCCTTTGATTAGGGGAAATTATTCTCACAGTAATTGGGCTTTTTTGGAAGTAAAAAGGCTTTGTGGTTTAAGGTTTTTCAATATTTCCAAAAAAAAATCCATTGGAAAAAAGGCTTTTTTATAGACTGCTGTTACATTAATGAAAAATCAGTCCCAGGAGAATTTAATTAGAAGTTTTTCCTTTTATTTTAGGCAGGAAAAAATTGTCTGCGAGTTTCAATTAAAAAATTTATATTTTGGATCTAAATTAAACATGGTTCGGAAATTTCAGAATGTTTGCTTAGTTTAATTTTGCAAAGATTTAACCTGGGTGGTTGGTAAAAAAAAAAAAAGAAAAAACATTAAAGTGTTCGAAATGTTAAAATGTTTAAACTTCCCAAATGAGATTTATATTCTTTAAAGGAAGAAACATAAAGGGGTTTAAGAACCTGAAGAAAAGCGCAGGGGAAATATTTAAATATATATAGATAAAATAAAACCTTTAGGGGTTTTAAAAAAAGGGGAAAAGAAAGTTTGAAAGAGATTTTAAAACGAAAAACATGATGGGTAATTTTAAAATTTTTACACCAAAGCTAAAAAACAGAAAAGGGAATAAAATTTGGAAATACCTGCTATTTCTGAGAACTCTGAAGATATGGCAAAAGCAAGTAAGGAGATGCAGATGGATGAGCTAGGTGACAGAGTAACAGGAAAGTTAAACCCTTCTCTTGAGAAGACTCTCTTTGACAAAAAAGTAGAGGAGTTTCTAGAATATTCAATCAAGGAAGTTGGGGACAATAAAAGTAATGTGAAGTTTGAAACTTCAAAAGATGACTTACCTGATGTTTACACCAATTCTGAAGTGGTTCTAAAAAGTAACAACATGCCTGATGAAAATTGTGCAATGATAAAAATGATCTCGGAGAAAATGAGTGCAGAATATGGTCTAAAACCGGATAACAAGGGTGATGCAAGTAATATAGTAGACAGTACAAAAGAAGATAGTGGAAAAAGTAGTGATATCAAAGAAAGGTCAGCAGTTACTTCATCAATATCTACTGAGTCCTCCAAATCTGAGACGAATCTGAGTCAAGCAGAAGTATTTAAGTCACCACCAGGTCTGGGAGGGCCAGACTCTTGCTTGTATAGCAAAGTGATTGAAAAGAAATCAACAAATGAACCTGTTGTAGGGATGCAGAATGACCAGGTTGTTAGCTTTACTCCTCCTGTTGCTGGGATACCATTTATACATCCATTCATAGATCCAGGAATATACCAGGCTGTGGAAGCACAGCTGAAAATGTTATACCCTGAAATAGCTTCTAACCCAGCAATTTTAACACAAGTTGCAATTCAACAGACTTGTATTCTACAGATGTGCCTAAATTCTCAAACTGGTGATGTAAACCAAGCACATGGGAATGTTAATCAAGTGGAGAGAGGAGTAAGTATGAAGAAATTCATTATACAGTGTATATAATTTTATGGCTATGCCTCTGATATTGAAAATAGACCATTTGAAGACTTGTGAGGCTATCTTACTTAAATGTGTGTCTGCATTACACTTTGATTTAAGTTTTATCTGCATCTTGTTGTAAAACATCATCTTCTCAACCACTAAAGATATTTGCTTATAACTTCAACATGTCTTTGTGATCATAATAGGCGGTCACTGTCCAATGCCCACAACTATAACATAGATTTTGTCAGAATTATGGCTCTTTTTGAACTTACAAAAATTCTTTGTTAAAATTTTAACATGCAACATCAATTTTCAAAACTACTCAAGATATGTACTCCAAACTTAATATGTGAATTATACATGATTAGCATAGTATTCTTGTGAAACTGTTAAGAAATGTTGGTATGTATGTTTGGATGATATCTGAATTATATGTTTGTCATATATTATTTAATTCTATATGTATATTAAGTATATTTTGACAATTTGCCAATGCAATACATATAATACAGCATTAAAATAGTGTTGATAATGAAAATAGAGTTATCTAATATTTACTTTGACAATTTTGTCTAGACTGACCAGTGTTCTTTACCAGATGGCCAGCCTCTAAGATTACCTGGGAAACCTACATTACATGAACAAGGGGGACTACCAACTCCGTCATCTGATGTGCAAAAGGGACAAACAATACCTACATTAGACAAGCAATTGAGACAGCCAATTTCACAATCAGATATGCAAAAAGGGCAGTCAATACCTACATTAGACAGACAATTGAAACAGCCAATTTCACAATCAGATATGCAAAAGGGACCACCAATTTCTACATTAGACAAGCAATTGAGACAGCCAATTTCACAATCAGATATGCTAAAAGGGCAGTCAATACCTACATTAGACAGACAATTGAAACAGCCAATTTCACAATCAGATTTGCAAAAGGGACCACCAATTTCTACATTAGACAAGCAATTGAGACAGCCAATTTCACAATCAGATGTGCATAAAAATCAGCCAATACCTTCATCAGACTGGCAAGGGAGACAAACATTCCCTCCATCAGCTACAAGGAGAACCCCAATATCTTCCATGGATAGACAAGGGGAACAAGAATTACCCCCTTCAGATAGGCAAAGAAAACAAATCAGTGGTAAATACATACAGGAACCCCACAATTACCCCAACAGTCCCCAAAAAGAAAAACTGGGATGAATTAAAGATAATGCCCCCAGGGTTCACTTTTTCACCCATAAACCCTTTTAACCTAAATTTTGGTTAAAAAATGGAGGAATAAAAGCTTCCACTAACTTTTCTGCCCTTCAAAGAGGAAGGTTTTAAATTTAAACTTAAAAAAAAAATTTAAAAAATCAGAGAGGGCCCCCCTTGTAAAACAAACCCAAAACTAGGGTTTTTGGGAAAATTAAATTAAAAGAAAAGATTTTTTATTTTTATACTTTTCTTTTAAAAAATGTGGGGCAAAACATGATTTAAATTTTTTCTGTAAAAACAACAACAAAAATATTAAAGTTTGGGTTGGGAAAATTACAAAGACAGCACAATAATTTTTTGTGTTTTATTTATTTTTTAAAAAAAATTTCTTCATGCCCAAAATCTTTAAAAAAAGTTTTCAGTTTCCCCCACTCCTTTTTTAAAGAAATTGCCTTTTCACATGTTTCCCAATTTTTTAAATATAGAATTGTTCTGTTTTCAAAAAAATTGGTTTTGATAGTCAATTTTTTTAAATGTTTTTACATATAAATTAAAGTAATAGTATTTTAAAATTTATTCCATTTCCCCCTGTCCCTAAACAAAAAAATTCAGTGACTTTAAACTCTGTGGAAATTTTAATTTAAAAATAGATTAAAAACCAAACTTACAAAACAAATACTGCGATTTTGGCAAGGGGGGTTTTTTTTAATTTTGTGTAAAATTTCCCTTTTTTTAATTCACAATCTCCAAGGGATTTTTTTTCGGGTTTTTAAATTTTTTTTTTAATTTTTGCCCCTTTGGGTTTTTTTAACCCATTTTTAAGTAGTTTTTAATTTTAAGAAACCCCTCTGTTTAAAATACATTTACTTCCTACAATTTTTTTAAAAAATTTTTAAAATAAAATCAAACCCAAAACATATTCCCCAGGGGTTTTTTCCCATTTTTTTGACTGGAAAATGGGCACCTTGTTTTATTTTAAACTTTTTTTTGGTTTTATTTGAAAATAAAAAGGGGAAAGGGGAAACAGAGAGAGAGGGGCTTTTTACGAAATTTTTCCCCAACCAAAAATTTTAAATTTTTCCCTTTTTTGGGAAAAAAAAACAAATTTAAAATTTTAAAAAAAATGAATAATTTTTTTTGACAATTTTTTTCTAACCCATAAAACAGGGCCCCAAGGTTTACCTGGAGATTGGCAAAACCCAAAAATTTTACAAAAAAAGGGCTGCCCAAATTTATCAAAAGATACACCCAGGGGAAAACCAACCAATTTTCCCCCAAAATAAAAAAATGAGACAAAACAATTTCTTTCCCAAAGGGCGAAAGAAACCACCAAAATTTCCCCCTCAGGAAACAAGGGGAAAAAACTTATTTCCCCCCTCAGAATACACAAGGGAGACAACCAAAATTATTCCATTGAACACACAGAGGGAGACAAACAAATTCTTCAGAGCAGACCCAAACAAAGGAAACAAGCAACATCTTTAGAATAGAAAGAGAACAAAATGACTCCTTTTCAATTTTCCTCAAAAGACCCCCAAAAATTATCCTTTGTGTTGTCAAATGAAATGGGATGAAAGTTGATGATTATCACGCAACTTTCAACATTTTAAACAGAAAGGATGTAACACAACGATCACTATGGCTAACAAAGAGAATAAAAACAAGCCAACCCAACAAACTTTTGTTCCCTCCTGTAAAAGAAGGTAATAAGGGTTTTTTTCATACATACTGGTAAAGCCTACAAGACGGAGAGGAAAATTTTAAATTTCTAAAAAAAAAGGGCTCCTAAGAGGTAACTGTTTAAAAACTGGGGGTAAAAAAACCGGGGAAGGGCGCCCTTTCCCTTTTTTCCCCCAATGTTTTCCCAAACCCCCAAATCGGTTTTTCCCAAAAAACTAAAACCCCGCTTGCCACCCGGTGTGGGTTTTTTTCCCTTTCCTTGATTTTCGGAAAAAATGAAAAAAATAGGGAACCTTTTTTTTCCCCCAAGTAAAATGGAAAAACAAAATACCAAAAATGGTAAAATTTTACGTAAAAACCCCCTCGCCAAAAAAAAGGGGAAAATTTTTAATTTAAAGGCCCTAAAAGCTTTCTGGGGGGGTTTTAAAATGGGTTTTTTAGCAGGGTAAAAAGTTTAAAAAGGGCCCGGTAACAAGGCCTCTGCCTTTTTTTTAAATAAAACAACCAAAAATTAAAATTAGGTTTTAAATTTATTTTTTTTGGGAAAAAATTTTAAAAAACCAGAAAAAAATTTCTTTAAAAACGGATTTTTTCATATTTTTGATGAACCTTAACCGGAAAAAATGACTATTTAGGGAAATAATTTATTCAAAAAGGATAAAAGGTGGTGGGGAAGACCCCAAAAATGGGAAGGGTTTTTCTTTAAAAGGGGGGGAAATTTTCCCTTTTTTACCTTTTGGGGTTTTAAAAAGTATTTTCTTCTTTGCAAAATTTGGGAAACCTTAAAATGGGTTTTTTTGTTTAAACCCCAAAACAATTCATAATTTTAAAGGTTTTTTAATTACAATTCAAAAAATTTTTCCCTTTTTTTAAAACTTCGAACCCTTTCCCCCCGCCTTTTGGGGCCTCAAAAAGTAAAAATTCAGGCCTTAAATTTCCCCCAAACATGGGTCGTTAAAAATTTTAAAAAAAGGGCCAAAATTTTTGGGGGCCCCCAAAAAATTCAAAGGGTTTTTCCAAAGGGGATTTTTCCCCTTTTTAAAAGTTTTGGGGGGGGTTGGGGGGGCCCGGAAGTTTCCCCGCCCCCCCCCCGCCAAAAAAATTTGGATTTTTCAGGTTAAATATGGCCCCAAATCGGGCTTGGGTTCTATAAAGGTGCCCTTTCCTGTAATAATTTAGGGAAAGGAGCACCTTTACCTCAATTTAGGAAAAACGCGGAAAAAGTGATTTCCCAAATTTTTTGGGCCCCGGGTGCTTAAAAAAAACCCAAACTTCAAACAAAACATTTTTTTTAAACAGTTTCTTTTTTAAATTTTTTTTTTCAAACAAGTTTAATTGTTTAAGAGTTTTTCAAAGAAAAAAATTTTTTACTAAAGGAAAATAAAGGGATTATTTTTAAAAGTAGTGGGAAAATAGGGGCCCCATTTACCGGGCTTGGCGGGATAACAACTTTGTTAAAGGGTTTTGCAAAACCCAACAAAAACAAATAAGAATTTGAATGGGAACTTTAAAAACCCCTTATTTGGGGGAAAGGGAGATCACAGAACCCCTTAAAACTTTTAAATTTAGAATTTAAGTACTATCAATTTTTTAATCTTGGGCCCTATAAATTTTAAAGTAAAAAATTTTATAGGGCAAAAATAAAAAAAAGCGGCCCTTGTAGCAAAGAGCAACCAAAAAAAGGGGCCAAAAAAAAAAAACCCAGCAATTTTTACCAAAACCCCACATCAAACTACTGGGTTTAAAAAAAAAAGGCAGCAGAAAAAATTTTAAAAATTTGAAAGAAAAGGGGGGACGAACAGGAAGAAATTTAAAAAAGCCAAAAGGGAAAAAATGAACCCCTTTAAAAAAATTTAAAAATTTAAAAATTCAAAAAATCAGTCGGTGACAATTTAATTTATTTTTTAAAAAATTATAACCCGTTAATTTTTCCTTTAAAACAATTTTAAATGGGGTAACCTAATTTTTTTCTCAAAAAATTTCTTTGTAACATTAAATTTTTTACCAGTTGTTTTGGGGTGTCTGTAACCAAAATTTAAATTTAAATGATTTTTTTGATTTTTGGTACATTTTCTACCAGCGAACTTCCTCTTGGGTGCAGTTTCAAATTTGTATTGTCCAGGTCAGTGAGGCTTAAAATAGACTTTCATATTATTCTAAGTTTAGGGTGAGAATTTCGCATTTTTTTTTCACTAGCAAATTTTTGCAAGTTGCTTTCTAATGAACTTGCAGAATGTAAAATGAACTTGTCAATGACATTTAGTGGGCGTTTGTTTCATCAAATTATACATAATTTACAATTTTTGCTTGACATCTGTGATTTGGTCCCAATGTGTCCAATTATATTATTCACTAGGTTAACAATGGCCAGTTATTCAGGGAAAATTCAAAAAGATGATGTTTTAAAATATAAAGTTAGCAGGATTAATCTTTACCTGACCAAGTGATTCTAGAATAGAGAGAAAAAAATCTATCAAATATCTCTTTTTTAGCTAAAAAATCTTTTTTTCTCAGTTTCATAAATTTTGACAATAAAAGCAAAATAATCTGAACTACATGAAAAGATGGATGTTTTAGGGAAGTCAGACTTTTCAAAATTTTGGTTTTCTGTGTTATGGCATTACCATTAATTCATTATAGACAGGAAATCATTGATGCTATACAAAAGATCCGTAAAGAACAAGGAACTTTGAGTGGGATGAGCATGGAGCTAATCTTGGAGAAAGCTGAAGGATTTTTGAAACCAGGAAAGAAAAAGGTAAAATTGGCAGCCCCCTTTCATGATAATTTAACAGAAATTTAAACCAAAAAAAATATTTTTTAAACCCGTGGTAGTTTAAGGATTTTAAAGTGTTTTTTTTGAGGGAAAAAATTTCCCCCCCAAAATTTTTGGCCCGACGCAAAAACAATAGGAAAAACTACGGGAATTTAAAATTTTTTTCGGTTTTCCCCCGCTTAACCTAGGGTTTAAAAAAAAACTTTCAGTTACAGCCTTTGAAAAAAAAACGCAAACCCCCAAAAATATATTGTGAAGGAAATGCAAAAGTGAAGCTTTTTGCAAAAAAATTTTTACCAGCATTAGCCGGGGAAAAAAAAACATTTTCGAGTTTTGGGAAAAACATTTTTTTGCCCCTCCCACTGGTTTCCAAAACAGGGCCAAAATTGGGAAATTTTTTTTAAAGGTTTAGGAAACTTTTTCCCCCCAAGGCTTATTTTAAGATTGATGATTCATACTTGCATAGTCTACTTACTTGCCTGAAATAATGCCAAAGGGATGTCTGTCTGACGTATTTCTTCATGAGTAATTTTGTACAAAATGTTTAGTAAAAAACCCCACAAAAAAACAAACATGATGTTGGGAATTTCCCTGTCCAAAGTGGGATTTTAACCACAATGGTGTTAGTCTGAAAAGTAAATTGTAAGCACATGAAGGACAACTGATAACATTTTATTTTCATTAATTTAATTATAATTCTGACCATGGCTGGTGTAAGATTGACTGTATATAATATGAGAATGTATGGGACTCAATTTTTAGGGCTTACAAGGCAAAAGACTATTACTTGAATTGTAGCTGATTGTCAGTTGTTTATTATATAACAGGAAAAGGAACAAAATGTAATGTTGGAAATTTTGTAAACTGGAAAATATTTCAGTATGAAGGTCAGATGCCCTTGAAGGGGATAGGACTTTTTGGTTGTGCAATCAAATGAATGATCATGAATTTATACACACTTGTTAAAGCAGTAGATTTGTAAATCATCAGGTATTTTTCTTGCATAATAATCATGCACATAATGACATTATTGTATTTTGTAGATCCCTGGTTTAGTGTATGAAAAGAAGAAACCCAACACTTTACCACCCAGAATGCAACAGCAGCAGCTACAACAACAACAGCAACATATATCACAGAAACAACAAGCAACTAAACAACCAGTAAGTTTACTGGAGCTGAAACTTCCTCCGAGGAAATCTGCCTCTATAGGTTTTCTTAAAATGGATATACCTCCCAGGATGAAGTACAACGGTGCTGTAAGTCAGTTAGTTGATCTGTATTTTGTATTGATGGGTTGCTCTAATTGTTAAGATAGCATTTGATTGATTCATTCAGTGTCTCTTGTATGGCTAAAAATGTTTTGTAGATGATATTTTATGTTTTAAAAAATGTTTTATGTAGATGATTTAAAGAATAGACATGTACCAATTAAATAAACATTAAAAAAAATTCATCCATTCTTTTTAGAGGCATATTTGATTTATTATTATGCAAATTTATTGAAGTCATATAAACCCTTAAAACTCATAATTGTTTTAAAAGAACATTTTCCACCTTATAGTTGGATGGCAAAAGTGAAGTTAAGTATATAAACTGTTACAAACCGTATTTGATAATTATATTTCAATATACTGGTATTAATATTTTCATTTTATAGTTGGACACATGTTTGAATACATATGAGGAAGATATGTGTGTTATTTGTCATGATCCACTATCCTCAGAAGTTGTCAAAGAACTTGATTGTAAACATGTGTTTCATGCACAGGTAAGACTCTTATATTTTACGTTTCCATCCTAAGGTCAATAATCAGGGTCTTAATGACCAAGCGTGATATTCCGGTCACTCTGTTATTCATGTTTGTTTGGATTCACATTGTTCAAACTTCCTTGTAGGAAAGAGAGCTTTTATACAAAACATTCTAGTATTTAATATAACCATCACACTTTATCATGTATTATTACTTAAAATCAATGATTATATCTCCGCCAAAAGTTCTTTTTAAAGACAGCTGACATAAATGTTCATATTTTGAGGTCTAACCTCTATTCACAGTCTTGTTAGCCATTCCAATGTTCTACTGCTGCAGGGGAAGCTAGCTATCCTTCAAATTAACTTGTTTAATTTTATAACTAGCTGTTGACATTGCTGTATCATTTGTATATTGCGTGTTTATGTATATTTCAGTGTATAGGGCAGTGGGTGGAGAAAGAAAGAACATGCCCAACATGTAGACAACATGCCCTCTTCCCAGAGGAATTTCCTAGACTAGGAAAATAGAACCAGCTGTATATAACATCATATATGCTTGAATGTGATAGAGGCACTAAATGTGTTAGAAGAATGTTTGTTTAGTTGACCAAGATAAATATAGCACTCAAAATTATTTTTTTAAAAGGAAGAAAACTTACTATAGTCTGTCCCATCAAATTTGAATATTCCATTTTTTATTTAATATAATAGTAAAATCATTTAAATTAACATCATGTTAACCCTGACGTCAATATCCCTAGGCATGTTTTTCATTTTTTTCATAAATTCAATAATATAGTCAAAATGTTAAAATAATAGTTTTTTCCCGTTGACTTACGTTGTAACCTGACGTGACGTCCATTTCAAAATGGCGGCGCCCATATAGACGTCATTTAGGGTTCGTCTCACAATTAGCATGAAATATACTCGGTAATTATAAAAATTTGATTATTCTGTTTAACTTACTAATCAATAGCAAAATGTTATCATTAAAATGAAAAATGATAACAAAGTTGGTGTCAAAAAGGCAATTTTACTAGCAAACCATTATTTAAAATAATCAAAATCTTTGAAGTGAAAACATCAGTAACCGCTAAATATAAATTCAAACACACAAAGATTTATATAATTACCATAATACACTGCCGTATTTTATATTCTTTTAAAGAGAAAAAGACCAATGAAGTGATTTGATTAGATAGCTTTTCAATCAAGCATATCTTGAATACAGCAACGCGTCGTAGGGAAACGGGAACACTAGCTAGAAGACTATAAAAATGGTTTTCTTCGCTAATTAATGTTTAAGTTACATAATTATGTAGTTGTCTGAATTCGTATCACGTCTATTCAAAAATAATTAAATTGACCAGGTTCGATGGGATACAAAAATAAGTTACCCTTCTTATTTCGGGTGCGATGTCCGTGCGATAAAACTTTTTCGAAGCTTTCAACTTTCACAACAAGAAATCGCCAACAAATACTACATTATCATGCAAATCTGACAAGAAATATATAAAAAGGAGAACTAATTCACTATAAAAAAACTCGCGTTCGAGGAAAATGTAAATAATAAGAATATAATATCATGCTTTCTAGTTTGAGAAATCAAACGCAGACCTATGCACTTTAACTCGTAAATACAGATTTAACTTTCCGTCCCACCTGGGATGTACGTATCGTATGTTCCAGGTCCCACAATTTAACAAAATGTCCAGAAATATCGGCAGTTATTTGATATTATTAAGAATATGTTTGAATTGGAGCATTCAATAAGCGACAATAAGTGTTTTTCTTTCTTTCTTTTTTTGTAGATTCAAAGTGTTACATATCATCATTTAATTATGTTAATATGAAGGGGAGATCGAGTCAAAAAGAAACACCGAGCGACGTCCTCAATAATTTTAGCCTTCCTAAAATTTGAAAATATTCAGTGAAAAAAAAAACAAAAACAATAGCATATTTTTCGCGGGAGAAAAATACCGCGTATTGTATATTTTATAGCTAAAAGAGTAGAATTTACTGACGTCCTGAATAACGAGATGATATGTAGGGAAATCATTTCTGAGAAATATATGAAATAGTTTAAAAGCATATTTAATAAAAACGAAGGTTATATGTGAATTAATGGAAGAAGTATTGTACTGTCAAATTGTTAAGTCTGTTTTAAATTATTCAAATCATTAATGTTATCAAAAGTTTTATTGTTAATATATGAATTGAAGGTGTAATTTTAACAGTTAAATTGCAAAATCTGGGTATACAAAAATTATCTTAAATACCATCAAGACAAATTTATCTCAAGGCTTAAAATTATATGTATGAGGTTACACATGCCTTACCGCCCTCTGTCAATGCCGCACCCGGAATCATCCATAAAAAGCGCGAGGCATTTTTGTTACGTCATACATTTCGTAAATTGTTGTTGACGTAATAAAGTTTTTTCGTCAGGAATCCATTTTCAAGAGTTATAAACATTGTGATGTTGACAACTAAAATTGATGGGCCGTTCTTGAATTATGGATTTGGAACATGCTGAATTATGATATGTTTCATGTACATATTTCATTTGCTAACCCAGATAACTCCACAAATTGAACAATGTGTTAATAATGAGACGGATTAACAGTTTAAAAAAATCTGGATCATCATTAGTGAAGGGGCCATGACATTTAGGAGTTTTGAAGATCTACGGAACTGGATAGAAACTGGCAATGAAGAAATCTTCAGAATGCGAATTTGTTGTGACGTTTATAAAGATCTATTTCGAATTTCAGCTTAAAAGTAAGTGCAGTTCATGTGACTCGGTGTTCTTGTTGCTTATTTTTCATTTTTTTAAAGTTTAACATCATGCATTGCAACTAAACTGTTACATCTTGTAGATCCAGCTTTGTAAAATAATTATGAAACGACCCCGACAACCTCATGTATATTTTGGAAACATGACACGTGCTATCTCCCGTTCATCTTCAAATGAAGAGTATTTCGGCAATGGCTTCGGAAAATAAACAACAGAGATTTTCCATAGGAAAATCAAAATTTGCTTTCACAAGAAAAGTAGACATTTTAGAGTAAAATCCTGAAAAATCTCGAGGGTGACTTTTTTTTAGTTTACAAAAATAGTTTAATTTTTATTCAATCTCGTTTTGTTAATTCATACCAGACAAAAGTTCATTTCCATTTTCAATGGGACAGACTATAGTGCTGAAAATGTTCAAAAATTCCAGGTCTTTAACCATGTTTCAATTACATGTATTGAAAATAATGATGTGTCATAGTCGTTAACTTTTAATTTTGTTTACATATTTAGAAAATTTGAAATACCAGAATGTCATTTTCTAGTCTCTTATCATACAAATTGTTGTTATATTTTGGTCACCAATGTTTTCTTTTTGTCAGTAATGATAATTAGGATGCTAAATTTGTGTACTAAAATTTGTTTACTTTTATGTATATATATATATATGTTTTATAAACATAAAAGGTCTTGTTGTTTAAACTTCAGTCATGTCATAGATTTTGACTGAAAACTACTCAAGGTGCTCATTTGACACTTAATACATATCTTTGGGATCATAGTTCAAGTTTACTTATTAAGTCACATGGAATTGGAATAGATTATGGCCCTTCATGAACTTGAAACTTTCTTTAGTCTTCAAAACATTTGAAAGTTTTCACTTGATCTTAATGCATATTTTCAGGATTGTAAATGGAGGTCATTTTTTGAAGCATTAACATTGGCTGAATAGCTGACTTTTTTATATGTCCATTTGAAAAAGGGGTCATATTATAGTTTCCCCCCAGTTAGGCAGGTGGTGTCCACAATCTTGTCCGGAGCATACCTACACACATTGAGGAATTTAAGGAAACTTCATAGAAATGTTCACCACTATGAGAAGCAGTGTCATGAACCAGGTCTCTAGGTTAAAGGTCAAGGTCACACTTGGAGGTCATTGAAAAAATGCTTGTCCGGAGCAAAACTTCTAAATGCAGAGGGATTACAATATAACTTGGCACTTAAGTTAACCATTGTGAGGCGGAGTGTAACAAGCAAAATTCAAGTGCCTGTGGCCAAGGTCAAGGTCACACATCTGGGACACAGTGCAAATGAAAATGTGTATTCGGACCATTTAGTCATAATTTATTGCGGGATTGAAACACAAATGGTCATTATCATGACTACTATTGTGCAGCTAAGTATTTTCCACATAATCCAGGACTCTGCTACCAAAGTCAAGGTCACAAAGAGAGGTGGGGACCATTGAGTTATCATTTATTGATGGATTGTAACACAAATGATAACTATTATGACTTCAAGTGTGACACATGTAATTTAGGTTAATATTTGTGTGGTCAAGGTCACTAGAGATAATAAAATATCCAGATATTGTCCAGATATTTCCAAGATCATGTCTCCTATATGCATATCTATAATGCTTACATCTCTGTCAAAAGCTTTTGTGAAGGGTTTATTTTGCGACAGTTGCCCTTGTTGAACTTTAACAGTTCCTGATTTACGCCAAATCAGACTTCAATACTACTAAAGTTAAACATATGGCTTTGTGATCATTATTGATAGACTTTCTCCAAAACTTATAACTATGTCATGTATATTTTGACTGAAATCTTCAAACATTATCCAGACTCGTTTTAAGGAGAGTCAAAAGTTTGGTCTTACTGGCAGCCCTTGCGTTAGTTAAATTTACTAGTGTGTATATATTTATATTACATATCTTTTTTTGTTTGTACATGAACATTTTATTAATATTAAACTCGTCAGTTTAAAATACATATCATTATTTTGGCTTGTTTGGATTGTAAAGCATGTTTTCAATTTGTGTCAAGATGCTCGGATTTTATTTGGGGTGTAAATCTTTTATGTAGTTTTTGTCATCAGAGAGGAAAAAAACACCCATTTTTCTGTCTTTTTTATCCTTGTATGTACTGCTAGCATAGTAGAACTTTTTTTCCTTATATGTAGTGCTACTTATTGTAGAACTTTTTTTCAGTTACTTTTTTTTTCAAAATGCACCTAATGCATTACCTCCACTTTGAAGAGTATTCAAATAGGCTAGAACTACTGTCAAGCCCTAGAAGAGGCAACTTTTTTTCTTCTTTTTTTGTTTCTTAACAATGTTCAATAGGAAACTTTTTTTTTTATAATGATTATATTATAGATTATTTAGAGTTTTTCATTTCTGGAAAAGAGCCCTTCTGATAGCCAAGTTTAAGTTAAGGAAAATCTCCAGAACTTGTAAACCATACAGTAAACTTTGTTTAAATTTTGCATACAGGTGTCCTTTAAGGTATATAACTGACCTGTTGTCAATTTCATAGTTCCTTACAGTGCCTATTAGGGGGCTCATACCTTAAGGTAGCAGTCTTTTAAATCACTTGCCCCGCACTGCTGCAGGTTTGAATACTACCAGGGACTACCGGTTGTTTAATTTGAGGAAGCCATCCAGCTACTATCTTGCTAAATTACTGAAGATCAGTGATTCTTGTATAACTAAAAAAATACTTGAAGACCAACCAAGGTTTTCCTCTACCAGTTTAGCATGAAAGCTGCAATGTAACTTTTACAATGATGTAGAAGAAAAAATACGGTAAAAATGTTTTCTGCAAATGTCAAAATCTGTTCCACCTGTATGGAATTTGTCCCAGACTTTATCAAATGCCAAAGAAACATTGCTTTGTGTTAAGTATGGCAGGCACAAGAAGGTTATTGTATTAATGTTCGAATTTATGTTACAATATTTGATAGTGCTTATTTATATTTCGGACATTTGATTTCTTTTTTAATTTTAGTTAACTTAAGGGTTATGATTTTAACTCGCTTCTTATTTTATCCAATTTTACAAAATTTATTTTGAACATTTTTCAAATGACTAGTTTTGATAAGTTTTTCAACAAATATATTTGTTTGCCTTATTTTTTTTCTTCAGGGTATTGGACTATAAAATACTAACAATATTCTTTGAAATTTTAATAACTTTAATTTTTCTTTTGGGGGTGGGGGGGCAGTGCTATGCAGACCATAATTCATTATTTTCTGAATTTCATTTACTAGAATAATTAATCGATTGATATAACTGTTCATTTATAATTTATTGCAATTTGTTTACTACCAGTATTATGCATAATTGAAGTTTTCAATGCATTTTCATTGATCTCCTGTTGGGATATACCAGTATTTATACCATGTGACATGACCATGTTCTGTAATTAGTTACTTTGTTATATTTTTTTTATGTTAAACCAATTAAAGTAAAAGAAAGGTTAATATTACTTGTTTCTCATTGATTTCTAGAATTACCATATTAAGTCCAATTTAAAGTCTATGGTACCCTACATCAGTACCTGTGTCTGTGGTGTCCTATCTTGGTACATGTGTATATTTTTGTCACAGAGAAAATGACCAAACATGTTAAAGGAAAACTTCACTATACATGTATCTACGAGTCCTGTGATCCAAGTTTTTTGGGGGTCTCGAGTGAACCAGTCCTTAAGCAGCCTGCCTCTTGATTAATCATTTCTAAAAAAATTTAGTGTTTGTAATTGCCCAATATTGTCAAGCCAACAAATAAAGTTATTTAAGCTACTACATGTATAAGAAAATTTAAAAAAAGTTTTGAAACTCATCTTGAAAAAGAGGTCAGGACATCCTGTGAAAGTAATGACTTGCCCAAGAAAATTAAACTGTACACATATAAAGCTCAGTGTACCTTAAAAATCTATAACAAGAAATCTGTCGTCAACTTTATTTCATCAAGTACTTTTTACTGTAAATATAAACCAATAATACATGTATTCAATGCATGTACATCAATTTTTAAATATTGACAAGTGAATAAGAAAGTGTTTTTCACATGCTCTGTTAACGGAAATCAATGTTTTTTAAACATATCTACACTCGCCAGCAGCATGTACAAAAACCCTAGGTAAAGACTAGGATAAAATTCAATGAAAAACATGGAACAGGATATGATAGGCATTTTAATGAAACTACAGGGTCTAACATGCTGTAGGCACCAAATCCTGAACAACCTCATAAATTGTGTATCACAATTAAAAATTATATAAACACAATACCTTTTTGAAAAAAATAAAGAGGTCAAATTTCATCTTTTAACTACTCATGAAACAACATTATGAAGTTATTATTAACTTAATATGGAGCAAACTTATTCAGAGTATACTACCACTATGTTCAAATGAATGCCATGTCTCTGTTGAGACCTTGACCTATGTGGTTGTGGTGGGTAGAGCTCATCAAAGTGTATTTAAGACTTTAAAGAAAGAATTCCATATTAGATATTATTGTCACAGTTTAAGTTTTGTGACAAACAGACAATCAAGACTCAATATGCCCTGATCTTTCGATTCAGAGTTCTAAAACGATTTGGCAGTTTTCATGTTATTTTAGCTTAGGATGAAAAAACTATGAATGAAATGAGTAATTGTATAACTATTTAAGAATGCTGGAGAACTTGCATGTTTACAAACAAGGAAACAATTGAGATATGTTAAATATTAATAACTTTCTTATGGGAACATAATGGTTAGTTTTATGTACGGTTATGTCAGGACGTGTTTATGTAAAACAAGCTTGTTTAAGATTACCTTAGTGCAAGAACTAACAAAGCTTATATGTAATGTAATAAGTTACTTTAAAAGTTTAGCAAATAACAATATATATCACAATGCTCAAATATGGCAACATCAATCAAGTGAAAACCTAATTGAACAAGCAATTATCATAGTATTGCAAGCAATCCATAAGTCCCCTACCTGTAGGAGCCCAAGCAACATTCTGAAGGGCCATTGGCCATTCACTTAGGTTCCTATTTTAAGTAAATTTGTTGAAAAAGTTCTTTAAAAGTGATCACAGGAAACAGTTTTTATGTACAGACAGACGGACTGAAGGACACTCTAAAGTTATTTTTTAAACATCCCTGTTATCGAAATATAACATTTTTAAAGTCCTATCATGATTGAAGAAGTTGGAGTAAAAAGTTACCAATTTCTCAAAAAAAAGTCTAAGTTCAAAAGGGGCATAATTCTGGAAATAGTCTTGCTAGAGTATTGAACACTCACAAATGTTGAGTGATAATAAGAAACATTTATATGAAGTTTGAAGTAGATACATTCAGAAAAAGAAGTTATTAAAAAAAACAATGTTTTTTTCATGAAAATTTTAAGTTCAAGGGAGGTAATTCTGATAAATTTTGTGCTAGAGTTGTAAACCTTGTCACATATGATGTGGTTGATGACAAGCAACTTATATTTAAAGTTTGAAGAAAATACCTTAAGAAATAAAGAACTTAAAGTGAAAAAACTTAAAAACTAGAATCAGAAATCTTGAAATTCAGTCTATTTGTTGCCATAGCAACCAGAATTTTCAACATAGGAAGATAAGAAAAGGATGTGCATAATTTCCATACTGCCATCTACCCATATGTCAAGTTTCATAAACATATTTTCATTACTTTTTGTGTTATCACAGGATCCAGGTTATGTGTAAAATTTGCCATATTTTTAGTCTATTTGTTGCCATAGCAACCAGAATTTTCAACATAGGAAGAAAAGAAAAAAACGTGCATAATCTCCATACTGCCATCTATCCATATATCAAGTTTCATAAAAATATTTTCAGTACTTTTTGCGTTATCGCGGGATCCAGGTTATGTGTAAAATTTGCCATATTTTCAGTCTATTTGTTGCCATAGCAACCAGAATTTTCAAGATAGGAAGAAAAGAAAAAGACGTGCATAATCTCCATACTGCCATCTATCCATATATCAAGTTTCATTAAAATATTTTCAGTAGTTTTTGCGTTATCGCGGGATCCAGTTTTGTGGACGGACGGACTGACGGCCGGACAGACGGACAGACAGACGGTAAACCTAAAGTCTCCTCCAGTAAACTGGTAGGGGACTAATAATTCATGTATAAGATTCTCTCTCTCTCTTAGTCAAGTGTGGGTAGTTAGGTTTCCTTACTAATAATGGCCCTTGAACAAACTTTATAAAAAGTTAACTACACAAAGCAAACACTCCTAGGGGTCACCATGTGCACCTGTGCTCATGTGAGTTATAAATATTTTGATTTATCTGGTTATAATTACTGAACTTCGATATACCAAAAACGTAAGATGCATTGTAACACTGAACAAAATGTAATATTTGACAAGAGAGGAAACATTTGTCCATCTTGTAGAGGTGATTCCATTTTACATTTCAGCATGAATACCATGGTACAATTATTTTACAACTAATGAAATACTTGTGACACTGAATATTTTGTGTTGTGATTTGTAAACATGGTGTCTTCAAGCAACAAGCCATTGTTTTTGTATAAATTTGTAGATGTCATCATCTATAAGCCTCTGCTAGGATCGTGTTAATTCTTCCTTAGATATTGCAAAACAGTGCCCGCCTCCACATGCTATATATATCACAGACTGGCTCTCTAAAGCAGAAACTTTAGTTACAGTTTTAACATTAACTTCATCCCCAGTGGCACACAGTCCATGCTCATTCCAACCTAGTGCATACACTTTATTCTCTGAAATACAAAATATTATTTAAATATATTAGATTACATTTATGAAAAACTCTGTAATAATGAATGAAAAGATAAAGATACAAGAACAGAATCATAATTATAACCATCTGCTGACTTTAATTAATCAAGACTTGTCATCTTGACGAGTTTGGCACAGTCAGTCTACATCAGAGATACATGTAAATTAAATACAACAACAGATCAATGTCAAGATTCTAGTCTACATTGTATTTGTGTACAAGTATCTGAACAAAAACAAAACAGAAATTGACTAAAAACATAGGTCACCAATCAAGGGAGCAGGGCCTAGTGGTTAAGGTGTCTGCCTCTCAACCCAAGGATTAAGATTTTGAGACTTCTCTGGTCATGAAGTCTAGTCAAAGAAGCTAACTCAAAAGTGATTACTATAAGTTGCAAATAACTGTTGAGCAAATGAGGTACTGGAGCATAAATATGCTCAGCTAAATTGTGTCTATTTTTACTGCAGAGTCAGATTGAATCAGATTCTATGTGTTTAATGTTGAACCTATCAAAGTAAAGCAAAAGACTACCTGCAAGAAAGAGTGTATGTTCAGATCCACATGTAAATGATGACACTGTCACTTGTATATCTATCTGACCTGGAATGTGACTATACATGATTCCCTCTGACCTTGACCTTCCTAACTGACCGTAGTCGGTACGTCCCCAGCTAAACAAATCTCCACTTTCTATATCAAAATAAAGATTGACATACATGTATATATTGTAACTGTAAAAAGTGAAAAAAAGAGTTTTCACATAATGTAGTTTTTAGTTTTAAAGAGTGAAATAGTGTACATTAATATCAACTCAGATTTATCTTATTTCAGAAACAAATGTTTGATAAATACTAAGTGTTATCTCAAAGCATTTTCTAAAAATAGTTTTATTAAATACAGGTGCCTTATATGAAAATCAATAAATAGCAGATTTTTTTTTTAGGAAGATGAAAATTATTTAAACACCCCTAGTAAACCAAAAGATTGTAAGCTGAAGATTAATGGTCTGCCTTCATGTTTATAGTCTAATAGTAGCCAATAAAAATTCTTTATTTGATGGACTTGTGGTACATTCTTAAGAATGACCATTTAAGAAATTGAACATCCATAGAAAAGAAAGGTGAGATAATTATGTGAAAGATATTATAATTGGCATGTTTTGTCTGAAGTCTTAAAAAATAAAACACACCTGTCTGTGCAATTAAATGAGTCCACCCTGATTTCACCTCAACAACTTTTTGGTTCTTGAACATTTCCTGATTGACCATGTATGGTGTGTTGACCTGTAAAATGACGTCTGGTGATTGTGTACACTGTCCATATTTATTACATCCCCAAACATACACCTGACCTTTATCTGGAATTTCAAAATAACAAAAGTAGAATAAATATGACCCCTCAGATAACAATTTTAAATGCCTGAAGTCAGAAATAGATGTACATTTGAGCATACCTGGTTTCCTCAATAAAGAGAGCACTTTCTCTAAATATTATGAATCCACAGGACAGCATTTTCTTTCCCAAGGCAATGTTGTTAAAAAGAATAATGTTTAATATTGTCTTACTACATTAAATTGTGCCCTCAGATGAGCCATGGAATCCAGGGACACAAATGTACCACATGTAACACTGACAATTGTAACAAACTGGCACTACACACAACAAAATGAAACTAAACAAATCTTCATATGTAGTAAATTTGTATACTTTCTTAGGTCATTGCAAATTTCTTTCAAATTTACCCGTCACGGCCGCATGTACATGTATATCAAAGATATTCAAACTTCTTGGTTTATTATTTCTCAGAATCTAATGTGATTTTCTATTGTAGAGAAAAACTGTCATGATATAAGAATTAATTCACCTACCTGTCAAAGCCACAGAGTGATATGACCCTACACAAACTGATACAACTTTCCCTGTACCTGCTGGAAACACCACTGTCAAATATATTGACGAATAATCATAATATTAAGTTGTGTAAAAACATCACAACATTATAACAAACAAAGAGAGAACCGCAGTATTATCTATTGTTATATAGAAACAAGAGGGCCATGATGGCCCTGAGGTCGCTCACCTGTATATAGGCCCCTGGAGCGAGGCCAGTTTAAACCCAAGGGCTTTTATTTGAACAAACTTGGAAGACACCCATTAGAAGATGTTTCATGATGTTAAGTTTTTACTATACATATATAATGAAAAACAATGACCCCTCCCCCCCCCCCGGCAGGGCTAATTTTAACCCAAGGGCTTTTATTTGAACAAACTTGGTAGACACCTATAAGAAGATGTTTCATGCTTAACATCTAACCTCTAGCTCATTGGGTTTTTTAAAAGAAGATTTTGTAATTTTTTAATATACACATATAGTTAAAAACAATGACACCCCTGGGGCGGGGCCAGTTTTGACCCCAGGGCTTTTATTTGAACAAACTTTGTAGACACTCACTAGAAGATGTTTCATGCTTAATATCTAAACTCTAGCTATTTGGGTTTTTTCAAAGAAGATTTTTAAGTTTTTGCTATACACATATAAGGAAAATCAATGACCCCCGGGGCAGGGCCAATTTTGACCCTAGGGCTTTTATTTGAACAAACTTTGTTGACACTCACTAGAAGATGTTTCATGCTTAATATCTAAACTGTAGCTATTTTCGTTTCTTCAAAGAAGATTTTTTAAGTTTTTGCTATACACATATAAGGAAAATCAATGACCCCATGGGGCGGGGTCAATTTTGACCCCAGGGCTTTTATTTGAACAAACTTAGTAGACACTCATGAGAAGATGTTTCATGCTAAATATCTTAGCTCTAGCTCTTTGGGTTCTTTAAAAGAAGATTTTTTAAGTTTTTACTATATGCATATAGGGAAAATCAATGACCCCCTGGGGCGGGGCCAATTTTGACCCCAGGGCTTTTATTTGAACAAACTTGGTAGACACTCATTAGAACATGTTTCATGCTAAATATCTTAGCTCTAGCTCTTTGGGTTCTTTAAAAGAAGATTTTTTAAGTTTTTACTATATGCATAAAGGGAAAATCAATGACCCCCTGGGGCGGGGCCAATTTTGACCCCAGGGCTTTTATTTGAACAAACTTGGTAGACACTCATTAGAACATGTTTCATGCTAAATATCTTAGCTCTAGCTCTTTGGGTTCTTTAAAAGAAGATTTTTTAAGTTTTTACTATATGCATAAAGGGAAAATCAATGACCCCCTGGGGCGGGGCCAATTTTGACCCCAGGGCTTTTATTTGAACAAACTTGGTAGACACTCATTAGAACATGTTTCATGCTAAATATCTTAGCTCTAGCTCTTTTGGTTCTTTAAAAGAAGATTTTTTAAGTTTTTACTATATGCATATAGGGAAAATCAATGACCCCCTGGGGCGGGGCCAATTTTGACCCCAGGGCATTTATTTGTACAAACTTGGTAGACACTCACTAGAAGATGTTATATGCCAAATATCTAAGCTCTAGCTCTTTGGGTTTTTTAAAAGAAGATATTTAAAGTTTTTTCTTTCGGTTGCCATGGCAACCAGAGTTCTTCAAGGAATTAAATTCTTTGAACAATTTTTAAAGGTGACCACCAAAGGAACATTCCTGTGAAGTTTGGATGAAATTGGCTTGGTGGTTTATGAGGAGATGTCATTTAAAGTAAAAGTTTACGGACGGACGATGGACGCCGGACGAAAAGCGATCACAAAAGCTCACCCTGTCACTTTGTGACAGGTGAGCTAAAAATGCAATACCAAACAACAGATTTAGTGCCCAATCAAAATCTAGCTCATGAATTACAGAATGGCTGCAAATGTGAACTGTTTCATGGTAACAGAGAAACATTTATGACAAGCAAAGAAAATTTGCCAAAATTAAAAGTCTTGCATATACTGAGTTTAAAACATAATAACTTCATGAAAAACCTGTCCCTTGAAAAAATAAATGTTACAGACCAAGAATCAAATTACTTTTATCTGTAAGATCAGAAATTTTTACTATACCTTTATTTGGTGATGTTGTCTTCAATGGTAGTTTATCATTTACAGCAATCACAGCACATTGTCCTTTTTTAGAATGTCCCCAACAATACACATCTCCATTTACTAGATAGAATAATTAAAATATTTATATTATCTATTCTACAATGGGCTTTTTCCTCCTTCTTAATTGGACATGCCCATTGTTATATCCAGAGATTTCATGCTCAAAATTCTTACAATAAACATTAAAGTAAGTTAATATGGTTTTGAAAATAAGTTGCACATAAGAATATTTGTTCAATCCACTGCTGTGACCCTGAACTTTGTCTTAGTAGTCTGCATGTGATTTATTATCCATATGTGGCGGTTGTCTCATTTGAGTTATTTTAAAAATTCCATCATACATGAAGATGTTCACTGGTCACAAACCAAAATTACACTAAAGAAATAATAGAAATATACTACGTTTCCTCCCCTGCAGGTGGATCATGCATGTATCAGTTCTCTGATGCATAAAAGTTAAAACTAGAAAATACATGTATTCTTTATTTGATTCTGTAGGAAGTACCTGTTAAGGCTATAACATGCCTGAGGCCTGCAGCCACTTGTGCAAACTTTTCTCCCTCCCATATCTTCGTCTGGAATATCAACAATAACTCTTGTCAAATGAAAAATGATGAAACAATGAGTATTGTTGAAATTATGTTGTCTAAGAGTAGACCTGGCCTGTTTTAAAGACTATCTTTAAAATTATGGTATCTTTTATAGAACTAATATGATAATTTTCTTTACTAGGGAATATCATAGTCAGGATTTATACAGAGATCTTCTCCTTTGAGCATAGACTGATTAGAAGTAAATAATACCACAAAAATCTAAATATGAACAATAACAGTAACAATAATTGCCATCCGCCAAATTTCAGATTACTTGTCCTGTCAATTAAAAATCAATTAAATACTGATCATGAGTTCCCAGTTGATTATATCAATTCAGAAACTTCACATCATGTATCCTGTAAGTTCAGAGTCATTAAACTTTTAATCATTTATCCAGTCATTTATGAATATATACATGTATATTTCATATAATGTGTTTTATTAGTTAATGGTTTACAAACATCCTGTTAGTAAATGGTTTATAAGCATCATGTCAAGTGTCCTATTAGGGCTAAGCCATTCGGTTAGATCAATAGGTAGAGAGTTGGACTGTAAATTGAACGACCCAGGTTTGATTCCCGAACAGTGCAGGTCACTTTCTTTGCGATTGATCATGTAATCCTTTTTATGGCCATTTGCACTGTACCTCTGCTCTGGCATGTACAGAAGTTTTCAGTTCCTTGCCAAAGTGAAGGCAACTAGTACTGGTAAACTGCTGGACAGCCTGACCAGGAACGATTGGTGGCTGAACTGTGCTCTGATAAATTCAATGTGGCTTTAACTGCCGTGATCTGGAGTGAAAACTACCAACACCACCACAACCTCCTGTTAGGGCTTATAAACTTTAGACAACATTTTTGTTACTTGTAGTTTAGGATTATCTTATAATTGATTTTTTATAAACCATGGAGTGGTCCATTCCTAAACTTAAAGGAATATTTACATCTTTTACTGTCCAATCTGGTAACTAAAATATTCAATGCATATAATAACAATATAACTGTGTACAAACTCAAAAGACATTTGAAACCTAAACAATCCATGCAGGAGGTATATTATTGTGCTCTTGAGACATAAAACCATGCATAATGAATAAACAGAATAGCAAAGTATGAATAAATTATAACTGTAGTATGCTTACTGCCGTCAAACATTTGTTTGGTAAACTAACATCACCCAGTTGTCCAAAAGCATTTGATCCCCAACTGTACAAATCTGATGTTGCTGTAAATAAAACCAATAGTATGTATAAAAAAAACTGTGCAACACACAGAATTATGCTAAAATATAACATTTCAAATGTGTTAACAGTTATGTTTTTTTAAGTTAAAATAAAATCGTTTAAAATCAATACTGTTGTAATATTTTCTACATAGCCAAATAACGAAACAATAAATCAGACTCATGACAGAACTGATATTAATTTTCATCTATATGTATAATTTCAATATTATATGTTTTGTATGATTATAAGTATAAGGCGATAGTGCTAGACTGATATCCTAGTTTTATCATCATTCATTCCATATTTAGATACAATAAGTACATGATTGTGTTCACATGTTGATTATTTTGATCTGTTGGATTTTAAGTCACAGGGTTGTGTAAAGATCATACGGCAACATTCCCGCTTTACTGGTAGAGGAACACCTCAAGTGCCCCTTCATGCTTTATTTCAGGCACAGGCTGGCACATGAATAGAACCAGTGTCCTCCTCAAAGCCAGCTAGATAGTTTCCTCACGTGAAACAATGTAATGACCCTCACAGGATTCAAACCCACAGAGGTGAGGAGCAAAATATCTAAAATCAGCAACCTGAATGGTTAACCACTTGGCCACTGAGGCCCCTGTGAAGGTTTAATTGTTTACTGAATTTACTTTGATCAAATTATATTTCATACCTGATATTGCCAGAGAGAAGTCCCATCCTCCTGTTGTCATGGTAACAGGGTCATTGTTGCCAACAATTACTGGAGTGAGAACTGACACATCTTCTGTGCTGTTTAAGCCCAGCTGACCTTTGTTGTTAGATCCACATGAGTACAACTGACCAGTGCCTTTCAATTTCATACAGGTAAACTTTAACAATAGTCTTATCAAGATTCATTTCACCAACTAGGGGTATCTTACTCAAAGTGAAACATTTAGAGATGATTCAGAATGGTTTGTTCGCAAATCTATTATCAGGTGTTTTAAGAACATTACCAGTAATTAACTCTATTTCTTACGAACAAGCTGCAGAAACTTCGACTGCCAATAATTAATGTAATATTAAATATTGTTACAGAAACATTTACACTTTATAAAAAGATATTTGCTCTGGGGCATATATTTAGAATCATATGCCACTTATATTTAAAAATACTGTCAGTTCTAAGGAACTAACTGTGATAGTTTCTTTTTTCTTTTCAAGAACAAATTAAGATTCTGATGTTTTAAAGATTTTATAATTCATTTTCCAAGAAAACAAGTCTTACACAGTGTCAATGTATTTTTTTTTAAATTATGTTTTAGTTATACCTGCTATAGTAAGTGTATGACCACCCCCACCATGTATACATTGGATGTTGTCTGGCACATTGGTAACTTGACAAGGTAACAACTGGTCCTCACAGTTTCCATTTGCCAGCTGACCATAGGAGTTAGCACCCTGAAATGTTTTATGCAAAATGAATGAAATAACACTAGGAGTCAGTTAGCACCCTGAAATGTTTTATGCAAAATGAATGAAATAACTTTGATAGGTTTTAAAACATATATTTACTCTAGCTGGACTTTGAAGTTCTTGTAACATTTTAATCTAAAAGCAGCATGCCTACTTTCAATTTATTTAAATGTAAATTGAAGTGAGCAAAGAAATTAATTTAAACATTGCAAATGACACACATAATTTAGAAAAGAGGTCAAATTATGCAAAATAAGCCCTAGTCAACCATTAACGATATGGTAATATATTGCACATAACATGTAAATTAATTAATTATTACTTTTTATTTTTCTTAAAATCTTAAATCAGCACATTCAAGTTTGATTTTCTTGAACTCCAGCTTATATATGTAAAATATTCACAGACATAAACTGGCGAGTTGGTTAAGAATTGTGGGCTTAAATGACAGGTTGTTAAAGGGTTCTTTTTTTTCAATGGTGGTCTTGTACACAGGTTTGAATGTACACACTATTTGTACAGTACAATATACTTTTTTACGGCATTTAATTAACATCTAACGCACCTCTCAGTACATTTTCATAAAAAAAATACTGCAGTTGATGTGAGTACTGCAAAACAATGCCGTTACATACTCAAAATATCTTAGAAGAAATATAGTACAGCAAAATATTATTATACATGCGTGTACAATTACACACTAATTGTTACTAAAAATAGCATGGCCATTCATTGATTTTCCTGCAAAATACCCACGAGATCCCGACTCGACTGTCAGCCAATCAGAATGTCTCACATATCCGGGCAGACAGTGTGTGATCTAATGATCAAGGCTGCAATTTGCAAAAATGCCGTTCATCAATTATACAGGTGTAAACTACTACGCCGGCACGTGTTTCCTACAAAAGGAGAGCAATTTACTCACATACCCACGACCAAATGGTCATTTTATAGCGTTAGAAATTGTCCAGCCCACATTTTCCGTGATAAGTCTGTAGGCAATGTACACAATTTCATGTTATTTGATAGGAAATTAGTGTCATCACGTGACCAGCCTCAACACTATTGATTGGAGAAATGATCGACGTACACAGTGTTTTTGCTTTTCCGTCAATCAAGATTTCGTACGACAAGTATAGTATTTTCTCTATAATTTTGAGCAAAAAATGAAATCGATATTATTGTCAATCATACCAAGGTATAAAAATATAGTTTTTACATATCATGTAATTGTCGATTTTAAATAAACCATTTAAAAAAACAAAGTTTTAGAACTTTTATTGTTTTTACCGACAACAATAATCTTTAATGAATCCGCACCAATGGCGACGACTCAGTGGACTTCTTTTGGACATGATTCGCCGTACATTTTATGTTGATTTTCATAGCCAATCAAACAGAATCGGCTTTATTTTGGTTGTATGTAAGTCCAATTATCACATTATTTTCTTAATAGTTTATTTTTCTCATAATCTCTTTTTAATTTCGCGGATTTCAGAGAGAAAAAGTTGATCATTGTTCCCGAGCCGCTACCAGCGTACCGTGATCATAAATTTGTAATTTCAGAAATTATTAAAATTTGTATTAAGACTGTTTTAGACAAGATTGTACATATGATTTAATTGATTATCATAAAAATAAAATATCTGTTACTTAAATAAGTAGAAATGAATTCACTGAAATAAATCAGTAAATTGATAACCCATTTTCAATTTAGTCAATACCTTTAAAAGGGGCACCCAATGGGGAATTTTACACAAATAAATTAAAATAATAAGAACAAGAGGAGTCAATAAATAGACAACTTGTCTTTTAAAAAATAAATATTTCAGCTTTGAAAAATAGAATCTTGTTTTCATTGTTTTAATATTCTTTAGTTTAAACACCAGAAGTTATTTTCAGACTGACACACAAGAAGCTTTAATTAATGACTATTTTAGGAATAGCCTTGAATCTCTTCCTGTTAAGAAGGAAATTATTAGATCTATTTTTTTGTTGATTTAAGGAAGTTAAGTGATGTGTATGTTAAGGGTGATTTCCAGTCAAATTGACACTCAAGTCTCTGTAGTCACATACAGAATTGAAACAGACTATATAGAATTTTTAGTTAATATTATGATAACATGAACAACAGTGCCACTACACTATATGACTATTGGCATATAAATATTAATAAATTATTAAAATACTTTATTCTCTCAGAAGGAAATCAAATAATTTTAAAACTGCCAGTATGGCATCAAAATCCCTTGACTTTACGATGATCAAATTACACAAAAGTGATTGGACTTTCGCGAAAGAGTTATTTATTATAGCAGTGATTTTTAATATCTGCTATATCTCAACCTCATTTGGTGAGTGCAATACGTATGATTTTAAATCATTATTTACCAGGTTTTTTATTAGATTGAGGTATGTTGGATGGGCGAGTGGGCGGATTCAGGCATTCTGAGGAACTCTTCCTACTTTTCTCAAGGGATTTTGACCCAAACTTTTACAGAAGCTTTGGCATCAAGTGCCCTGGTGCATATTGTTTGGGTTTTGTGATTGGATAATTTTTGGCCTAATTATGGCCCTTTGTTTTTTCCATAAAATAGTAATTAGTAGAGTAATATCCTTTTAATCACAACTACAACTTTATGTAGTTATTGAACAGAAACTATCGAGTTTGTTGCACACCTGCCAGTTCATCTGCCTACTTTTGGGTCCTGTAGAGTCAAGGTCACTGTTGCTGAAAATAGTAAATCTGTTTCCAGTCAATAACTAGAGTAAGGAATGAAATATTTCGATTAAACTGGTGTATAGCAAGCTTATGTAAATATTTTGCTTTTGATTGCTTTTGGGTCTGCTAAGGTCAAGTTCAAGATCACTGTTACTGAAAATAGAAAATAGGTTTCTGGTCAATAACTAGAGTTTGGAATGAAATATTTTTATGAAATATGATGTAAAGCAAGTTTTTATATAGACCTCACTTGGGATGGCTTTTTGGGCCCCCTAAGGTCAAGGTTACTGTTACTAAAAATAGAAAATTCATTATTTATGATTTACATCGCACAAAGTAACATTGTTCGTTGCTTGTATTTATATTTTAACTAAATCAGATCTTTCTACAATGGGTTAATTTAAAACCTGATTTAGTGGCATTGCCATGTTTCTTGTTTTATTATTTGAAAGTGTCATTAATGCCTTTGTTGTTACAATATGGAAGACAAACAATCATATAAAACAATTTAGTCTAAAATTTATATTCCGTGCTATTTTCCTGGGAGTGGATTGGCCATACTTACAATTGTCCAATGGGTTTCTGACTTGCATGCAGGCCAGTCATACCATACCAGAACAATGTAATACAAATAAGACTTTGCTATGAATGTTTTGTCAGTGTTTCTGTAACCTGTTTACCATTGCGCTTACTGTTTACCATTGCGCTAACTTAATATTTATTGTATTTTTCAGTTTAGAGTCCTTGCAAATAAAAGGTTTACTGAATGGACAACATATAGCTAAGTTCTGCTTTACACACTCCAAGAATAAAAAACAGTAATAGAAAATAACGATATATAAAAATGGAGCAGTTTCAGGCCCAGCAAGGGGCTGTAACTCTTGATGCAAGTCAGCAGGCATTCCAGCAAGTAGCCCAACCTTTGGTGATGCAAGGACTTCCAATGCAATTCCTGCAAGCTGGAACCAATCAATTTTCTGCTGCTGGACAGCAGCCTCAAGTATGTTATATTTTATGTGTTTGACTTAGTGCTTATTGAAGCTTGAGACACTAGTACAGTGCCATGCAAGCCTCAGAATTTATTTTTACACAAACCTAGCAAAGTATGCTAATAATATACAAAAAATAGAGTAAACATTTCTTGAACAATATACCAGCCAGAAGCCTGAGATAATGCACAGAAGGGCACCCGAGGTCTTCCTCCACCAGTAAAGCTGGAATGTCGCGATATGACCTATACTGTGTGGATGTGATGTAAAACTAAAAAAAAAAGAAGCAATACATTTCTATAACTTTATTTCCCCCATTCTTAAATTTTAAGTTGCGTTAATTTATCTGTCCTTATCATAACATTGTTAAAAAGTTTTTTTATCTTGTGGTACTTGAATATCATCAATAAGATATAACTTGCCACACATAATTTAAATCTAGACCATTGAAGGAAAAAGAATACAAGTACTGTAAAACTATTGGCTAAACAGCAAAACATATTTAAACTTTCAATCACGTGCATTGTTTATGGAAAAGAATTAACAATTTCAATCACATGAAGTTTCTATATTTAGCACCCAGGAAGATAATGTTGAAGATTTACTTACAGATTACTAGCTTTGTATATTTTCATTGGGTATATGTTTTTTATATGAAAGTATTTTGAATTTCAAAATTTCCAATTGTTAGCCCCTTATATCTAGCTGGATAGAATTTTAACCTTACTTTTGTAAACAATCAACATATTGAATATACTGTTTTGAAACTTATCATTATGTTGTATACTGGTAAACCATCTAGAAAAAAGGTTAGTAGGATTACAGGGACTCATAAATTATAGTAAACACTTAAACAACATTAAGAATTTATGTCAGATTGATACTTGATGTGTCCTGCACCGTTTGGTTTTCAGTGGTGCATATTTTGAAATTTTCCCTAAAAATGATGAATGGTTTTGTCCCGATTGAAAGATAGGCAAGTCCATTTAATAAGCATTAAATATAAGGTAAAGGTAAATAGCATAATATATCAATTTGAGTGTTAAAAACTTTATTGATAAAAGATAAGCTTTTACTTATAAACTGTGAAACTATCATCAAGTTGTTGATTTTTGCTGACTGACACTATTCAGTATCTTTTGCTGATATAAAATATATACCTATTAAACAATTGTTTACTTCAAGTTTAAAACAACAGAGCAACATATGGTTGTAGTTAATTAACTTTGTATGTGTTTACATATAAACATATTGATCACTTATTAGATATTGAAAACTATTTCCCAATGAAGAGGTAAACAAAATAAAAAATTGAAATGTTCTTCCTTCTGATTGGTGGTTTGTACCAGGAAGAAGGGGAGGGTATTTATAATACTGCAAGGCATGTTTTAGTTATCTTAAGTCAGTAGTTTAAATGATATAAACAGAACTAATTGTAGAAATCAAAGTTATAAGAAATCAATTAATGTGGAACTATATACATTAAAAGGAACTTATCATTGATATAATTATATGCTATTAACATGGATAATTGACATAAGGTTTCCATGTGTTATTGTAAAATAACTGTAATATAACTTAAGTTGTATTGTAACTGTTATTCTAGAGATTGTACAAGTTATTTATTTTATTTGTATATTTGATTTAGCTTATACAGTTAAATGGACAGGGTCAGATGCCTTTGATTCAAACAGCAAATGGTCAACAGATTATAGTACAAATGCCACAAAACCAGTCATCTATGAGCATGCCAAACGGACAACAGTTCCAACAGGTAAGATACTAATGAATATTTCATTAGTCTCTATACACTTCACATTTCTCAGTTTCAATACAAGTATTCTCTAATGTCTGCACATGGTTTAAATTGGCTCTTATTCAGAATTATATCACCATGTTAAAGTTGATTAAAGTCTAATCTGGATTAACATGACAAAAGTCATCACTTACTTATTAGTTTAATAGTGAAAGTTCATTATTTGACATACAAAAAGAGTTTACTATAATGAAGTGAATATATCCTTTTATAGGGTTAACATTGGCTAATTATAAAGTATAAAATGAAAATGATCTATAGATCTCAAAAGTTAGGCTAAATTAGTTATAAAGAAGGTACAGCACAGATTTGCAAGTTTTGGGTCCTCAGCATTGGCAAGATACATTTTCTGATATATATTATCAATAATTTTGTACAGTTATCCATCATAAGTGTAAGCCCCACTGGCCAGCGAATTCGTCAATTTTTCAAAATGTCAAGTTTTCAAAATATGCTAAAAATTGTAATTTTTCTCTCAGAAACAAATTTGATTTATAGTCTGTGCATAAGTTGGAATTTCAAACTTAATCTGCTAAACAAGTTTTGAAAGTGAAGTAAAATGAATAAAGTAATGTATGTAACATATGTATATAGACACATGTGATGTATACTCGCATTATGGTATGGTATTTATTATTTAAATGGTTTAGTTTAACATTTTGGTATACAGTTACAGTATGTGACGGCACCAATTACAAGCCCTACATTACAGACATTTGGTCAACCCCAGCAGGTATTAAATAGTGCACTCTCCGTAGTTTTGGTGTTGTACCTGCTTAATCATCTTCTTAAGATCACCTTTTATCTTATACTTCTGCAACAACAAGAAATGCTTTTTGTTAGTTATATAGCTGTGTAGTTAGAATTTTGCTTTGTAGATACATTGTATAATATAGATTAAAGCCTGGAAAAACTCACATTTGCAGAGTTCTGGATAAGAACTGTTTTTAGCACATGAGCATACATAATTACCCATATACATATAAACAGGGTTTTCATGATAAACAGATAGGCAATCCATAGCTATTAAAATTGTTTGTATTTTCAGCCTGTAGATTAAATTATCCCCCTTTACCCTTCACCAAATCAGTCTGTAACCTCAGATAAAAATGAAACCCTGAATATTAAATTGATGAGATACATAAGTAAATAGAATTAAAATAAGTTTGAATTTAAACTTACATCAGTAACATTTGTTGAGAAAGTTAACAAAACACCACATATATTACAACATCTTAGACTCATTAAATATAGTATGTAAATATATACATAATGCACATGGGCTTATTATATGTATATAGAGTAGTTTGTAGAATCTATTTGTAACTGTGGTAGTTTTGTAGAGTGATAGTATTATTTTGTCCTTTATATGTTGGCGTTTTTTTTGTTTTTTTTTCAATTAAAGTTCTGAATTATTTTGTACGGTGAAATAATTATTTTCGTCTACTTCACTTTGATCACATACAAATGTAGAATACTCAGCTTGTAACTAATATAATATATTATATGGATAATATTGAAACAACTATCTTTGTATGGAAAAAAATATTGAAGTGTTGTACTTTAAAATTTTAGTTGTAATAATGATAAAAGAAGCACATCGTCGGATACCCACGATTGATAAACATGTCACATAACATGATAAATGTTAATGGTTCTGCCGTGGGTATCCGACGATGAAAGAAGCATAATATGTTATGTGTTTTGTAACAAGAACATGTCCTGTATAAACAAATAGTATTGATTTACACAAATTGTATGGTAAATAAATAAAGCCAGTATAATTAACATTTATATGAGAACATGTATATCCCTTCATAATTTGTGTTTACTAATTATTATGATAACATGAACATATGATAACATGACTATATCCTATGTTTACTAACTATTATGATAACATAAACATATGATAACATGACTGTATCCTATGTTTACTAACTATTATGATAACATAAACATATGATAACATGACTGTATCCTATGTTTACTAACTATTATGATAACATGAACATATGATAACATGACTGTATCCTATGTTTACTAACTATTATGATAACATAAACATATGATAACATGACTGTATCCTATGTTTACTAATTATTATGATAACATGAACATATGATAACATGACTGTATCCTATGTTTACTAATTATTATGATAACATGAACATACATATGATAACATGACAGTATCCCGTGTTTACTAATTATTATGATAACATAAACATATGATAACATGACTGTATCCTATGTTTTCAGCTAGTTATACAGCAACCACAGGGACAACTCTTGAACCAACCTCAGATCATTAACTCACAAAATTTAGCACCATTTGTCAATCAGTTTACACAGGTATTTATTGTACTTTTTTAAACTAAACATTTAAATTGCCTTTTATTGAATTTTGATATGACTGCATATTATTTCATCTGCTTGGGGGTTTGTAAGTTTAAAGACTCAATTTAGACTACATCTGATATTTGAAACTAATTCATTAATAATAGTTGAGATCATTCGTCTACTAGACCTGATTCATTTCATTTATGTTTAACGAAGTTTTAAGCAAATTTTTATAACACCACTATCTGCATATACATGTAATTAAAAACAAAAATTGATAAAATGACATCCAACACATATAAAATGCATGTTCTGTAGTCAGACCAGTGAATTATTATTTTTTGCTACTATGGATATGTAAATACATGTATTAAAAAACCAAACATAAGATTTATCTAAATCATATTTTATACTTCAATCAAGTTTCAAAATATTTTCATAAAGTTATTTAAGGCATATCACAGCTTTCTGTTTCTTATTTGTGTTGTAATTGATATAACAAAAGTATATAAATGTCTTATCCAATAGATTGTACAGACCCCAGATGGACAGACAATTTTATACCAGCAACCACAAGCAGGGCAACAAGTTACTTCTCAACTACCTACACCAACAGATAGTACAGGACAACAACAACAACAAACAAATCAAGTACAAGGTAGGAGTAATGTCTATTCAATGTAATTTTTATCTCGACTATTGAAGAATAGGGAGAGCTATAATTGTGCTCACACAGGCATTGGTGTAACCATCACACTTTGGTTAAGTTTTTGCGTGCAAGTCTCCAAAACTACTGAAAGGAATGAATTATGTTAGATAGATATTTTTGTAAATACACAATTAAAAATATAAATGGCTAAATGGTCATGTCAAACTATTATTTCCATTGTGTAGTTGAATTCAAGTCTGTTATTATAGTACTTAAATATTACTTATACAAGCTTTTGAATTTATAAATTGGTAAAATTCTACATATTTAGGTTGTCTCCCTTTAATTAAGTGGCATATTAGTAAAGGGAGATTGAACTGAATATTTTGAATAAGAAGGAACATGAATTACTTCCCCTGAAATGGACATTGTTGTGATATATTTTCAGCTACTGGTATGGTGAATACAGACCAGAGTCAGCAACAGCAAGCAGCACCACAGTTTATTCAAGTTCCTGGTGGACAAATTATGGTATATAATACATTTAAAGCTTTGAAGAACAAAATAAATGAACTTTTTAGAATACACATCACCATATGCACAATTTCTTTGTGATCAGTTGTGAAAAACCACAACTTATCACAGCAATATAATCATAAACATAGAAATTGTGTACATAATGGAGTATATTTCAAAAAGTTCAATTACCTTTTGTGTTCTATTTACAATGAGCCAAATACATGTATATGCTTATTGTATCTCAGTAAAAAAACTATTTTACTGAGATTTAAGCATATATTTGGCTCATTGTAATTATCATTCTATGAAGAATTAGCCTTTAAACATATCAAATATATGTACTGGATTTCTGTGCCTTTCAGTGTCATTAATATATTTCTTGAAATACAATAAGACTTTAAGAACCAAGTCATGAATTGTTAATTTTTTATAAGGTTAAGTAGTATGTTTTTCTAAGTTTAGTTATTACATAATATAAACAAAAATCTAATTTTGTAATGGTTCCACATGACTGAATACTGTACAGAAAAATCTTCAAACTTTGATTAATTATAAAAAATTGCTCATTTTCTTGAACGTAACTGATCTTTTTAGACTTTACCAAGTAGGAAGTTGAAATACAATGACTACTTTTTATTTCAGCAAGTTGTTGGAGGAAATATAACCAACTTAAATTTACCCGGGGTCCAGCGTGCTCAGGCTGGTACCCAGGAATCAACAGACGAGGAACCATTGTATGTTAATGCTAAACAATACCATAGAATACTGAAAAGACGGCAGGCACGGGCAAAACTAGAGGCGTCAGGGAAAATACCAAGAATAAGAAAAGTAAGACTTAAAACTGAAAATTAATATCTTATCACTTTAAACTCATTGGAATAAATCAAGAAGCAACATGTCCCCTACCAAAGTATATGTTTGTGTAAACTAGTGGGTTCGTCCTTACACAAACCTTCTTATCTTTGTGGTTTTAATCATTATTATGGGGTTCTGATGGGACTGGAAAGGTAGAAATCTGTGTTTAGATAATTTTCATTGTTTATCAAGATGAATAGAATAGAATAATAGATGAATAATTTATACCATTCCCTATATTTTGTCTGTCTTTTACTTCATGTGAATTGATAGGAAATCTTTACTCGCGGTAATACATTTTGATTAAACTTGGTCAGATTAATTGTTTTGACATAGTTGAACGAAAGAAGTAAAGTAATTAACTTGTAAATGTAAATATGATTTTTATCAAGGTAATTATAAGTGTACATCCTTACATACGTCTTGACAGAATGAGAAGATATACTTGAAATAACTATCAATTATTTTATATGGATCTATAAATGTGCTTGTATATGCAAAAATGCCTAATTAGTCCCCTACCGGTTTAACCGGAGGGGACTTTAGGTTTACCCTCCGTCCGTCTGTCTGTCTGTCGGTCTGTCAGTCCGTCAGTCCGTCCGTCCACAAAACTGGATCCGTCCACAAAACTGGATCCCGCGATAACGCAAAATGTACTGAAAATATTTTAATGAAACTTGATATATGGATAGATGGCAGTATGGAGATTATGCACGTCTTTTTTTTTTCTTCCTATGTTGAAAATTCTGGTTGCTATGGCAACAGATGCCTGAAAATATGGCAAATTGAACACATAAACTGGATCCCGCGATAACACAAAAAGTACTGAAAATATTTTTATGAAACTTGATATATGGATAGATGGCAGTATGGAGATTTTGTCTTTTTTATGTTGAAAATTCTGGTTGCTATGGCAACAAATAGCCTGAATTTCAAGATTTCTGTTTAAATTTTTCAGCTTTTTCACTATAAGTTCTTTATTTCTTAAGGTGTTTACTTCAAACTTTAAATATAAGTTTCTGGTCATCAACCACATCATATGTGACAAGGTTTACAACTCTAGCACAAAAATTATCAGTATTACCTCCCTTGAACTTAGAATTTTTATGAAAAAAATGTTGTCTTTTTTAAATAACTTCTTTATTTCCTAATGTATCTACTTCAAACTTCATATATATGTTTCTTATTTATAATCACTCAACATTTTTGAGAAGGTTAAATACTCTAGCAAGACTATTTCCAGAATTATGTCCCCCTTGAACTTAGATTTTTTTCGAGAAATTGGTATTTTTCACTCCAACTTCTTCATTCATTATAGGATTTACTTTAAAATCCCACATCGTAATAATATGACAAGGTTGTATAAACATAATTTCCTTACTAGGCAGGGAAACGTAACACATTACTGTGATATAGACAAACTTAGAACTCAAAAGATTTAAGTTCATACATGTCATTCATTCACTGGTAAAATTGACTGGCCAATGGCCCATCAGAAAGTTGCTGGGGTTCTAACCGGTAGGGGACTTATGGATTGCTTGCAATACTATGATAATTGCTGGTTGTTATTAATTTGTTAACATTATCTCTGATCTGAATGACCCTGAGTGTGATATTGATGTGTCAGAATATATGTACAAATTGAATATACAATAGAAAAGGGAACATAAAGTTAAATAATAATCAAATACTGCCAAAATTTCAGATAAAATTTATAATTTTTACTTCAGAAATATCTCCATGAATCGAGACATATACATGCCATGAACAGAGTTAGAGGAGAAGGTGGTAGATTTCACTCAATAAAAAATGAACCATACGAGGGGGATGGTCTTAATATCAAACAAGAGTCAGATGTATGTATCAGTCCTTGAAAAATATATACCTGTTCCTTTGTTATTACTGTAATAAAAGAGGCTATCCAGTTATAATTTAGCAGGTTGTTCACTGTTGGTTCTACTAATTGCCTGATAGTGCCTCAAAAAATTTCCTGCATCAAATCATTTCCTTGAAAGCTTTAGAGGGCAAATTTCAGAAGTAAAGCTGGATGGGCAACCATATAATAAGAATTCCGGTGGTTCTATTCCTTGTGCCTCCATGTGTCTGAATAATGTCAGAAGTGATTTATTGAGAGAAGTTGTCAGTTTTTAGAGGAGACAAAGGGAATTGCTGATTCTGAATACATTATCACTGTGTCTGTCAAAGTCTGCAAGTGTATGACTCAAATAATAGTGGTAGTCTCATGAAGTACAACAAAACTTTAATATCACTAATATAAACAGTATTTTTGGGATGATAGATCACACTTAAATTATGACAAGTATTTTGGAATTGAAACCATGTGTAAGAGATTGGAATTATTCAACATGTTTAATTTGTACACTTAAGCATCTTAGCAACAAGAAGACACAATAATTCTAAAAACATAGATTTCTATTGATTGATAATTGAAATCAGTGTGATATTATGTAAAAATTAAAGTTTATGAGCATGGCATAGGAAACAACAGTAACATTAGGGTGAGTGAAGGCATAGTGTTTAAGGTGTTTGCCTGTCTCTCTGGGATAGTGAACTAGAGCCCAACTTTAGTCACAACCATATTTCCTTATATGACACCAGTACTGGCTTGTCCTAGAAAACCAACTCAACAGTTGTTTAAACATGTTACAAGTGTCCTTCAAAAAGTTCTTAGATAACTAATCTCAATATAATTTTAAGTAAACGAGAATTAGATAAATACATGTACAGTAATGTTTAAACTAAACACGTCTAATTCTGCTTACTATTTCATCTTTACAGGAGGACAACGAAGTTTCTCGGTTAATGTCGCAAGCCATGAACGGTGGCCAGTTAAACCCAATGTCATCCCTCCATCACAGTACTTCATCTCATACCAACATTTCAGTTAGTTCTCATTACACAAACTCTGAATTACGACATATAACGCCTAGTAAAGGATAACCTCATTTGTGTTTTAAATATTACATATTTTTGTATTATTTCACCATGTTAGTGCAGTAATGGGTTAACTACCATTTTTAGCTCGACTATTCGATAAGAATAAGTAGAGCTATTGTAGTCACCGGAGCGTTGGCGTCGGCGTAACCACTTATGTTTTTGTAATAGTTCAAATATTTTCAAAGTCCATTGACATATGGCTTTGAAACTTTGCACAATTGTTCACCATCATGACCCCAACCTGTAGACAAGAGGGGGTAACTCTATCAAGCATTTTGACAGAATTATGCCCCTTTTTCAACTTAGAATTTACGTTAAAGTTTTTGTAATAGTTAAAATATTTTCAAAGTCCATTGACATGGCTTTGAAACTTTGCACACTTGTTCACCATCATGACCCCAACCTGTAGACAGGAGGAGGTAACTCTATCAAGCAATTTGACAGAATTATGCCCCTTTTTCGACTTAGAATTTACGTTAAAGTTTTTGTAATAGTTCAAATATTTTCAAAGTCCATTGACATATGGCTTTGAAACTTTGCACACTTGTTCACCATCATGACCCCAACCTGTAAACAGGAGGAGGTAACTGTATCAAGCATTTTTTTTTACTATCAAGCACTAAGAATAGTGGAGCGTTGCTGTCCTACCGACAGCTTTTGTTGGAACAAAGAGAGGTAACTTGTGTCTGCATTAAGGTGATGATTTTCATGTCATTATTTATTATTTTGAAACAAATTGGTTTATTAATCATGGAATTTTTATAGTTGATGTAGTGTGTGTTTTACAGAAATATTGAAAAGCACTCAAAGTGCGTAAAATGGTGCAATATGTAAAATATTCTTTGAAGTGTTTTTAAAACTTATTATTTGTAATACATTTTCATTCTTTGCAATTTCTGGATAATCATGTTGTCGTTTCTTTTATCAATTTGTTAACTGAAGAGAGCATAAAATGCTCATACCTAGTTATCATTATCATGATCATTTTAATCATTACAGAATTTTGTATCCATGGTAATGGAAAAGAAAGTCCTTTAATTAAAAGATATTTTAATTTTTCAGCGTGGACACTGGTGTGATAATTAGATAAATTTCTCTGTAAAAAGATAGAAAACTTTAGCTAAGTAATTATCATCATAACATTTTTCTGTTTTACATGTGTAGAGAAACAACTATGTACAGAACAATGAAAATGGGTTTTACCCGTTTTAGTGTAGATAAAACCAGGTATGGTCACTGTTAATGTATACAACTCCATGCGATATTTTTTTAACCTTTTCTTTTTAAATGAACTTTTTAGTGTGGAAAAAAGGTTTTTTACCAAATTTGTTATTTTTATTGCACCTGACGGTACATAAAGATTTTTTTCTTACATTGTAGCTAGTTTTTATGAATGTAAACTTTTTTGTTATTTAATTTATTTGTTGATATTTTGTTTATGACACAACTTACAAAGTAGTTTGTTTTGCTCATTTTTATTTGTCTATCTTTTTATAAAGAGATAGGTGAAGATCAATGTAGTTGGCTGAGAGGCCAAAAATACAAAGTCTGTTTTTAGTTATTTTTTTAAGTTTTGTTTTATGAAATAAGAATTACATTAATTTATATGCATGGTATCTTTATTGAAGTTTATGTTCATTATTTAGTTATTTTATAGAATATTTCTTACAGAGAGGGTCAGTAGATTTCAGATTCAAGCTGACTTTGTTTATGAATGAAAATTTAAAAAAAAAACCTACTTTGTCTTAAGTATAAAAAATTATATATGTAATATCAAAATATCAGAATCTTGATTTGCTCAATCAAGTGACAAAATAAAAAAGAAAGAACTACAGCTACCATTTTGTTATATATAAACTTAAAACTTGTAGAGATGTAAAATTGTTAGAGGTGTAATGATATATAGATGTATCGTTGCACCAAGTTTTGCCTTGTCATGGAAAGAAAATGTAGATGACAATAAATTAAAGTCCAATACAGATTATACCTTGGAATGCATGTATCGCAAAATGACAACAATTTCTTACACATAAAAAATTTAAAAGCCAGATTAAACTTATTTGATAAAAAACAATGTGACAAATACAAACATTGTCAAATTATTATAGGAGGTTTTGATGAAAAGTTAACAGGGTTTTGAATTCAATGGAATTTTGTTTATATGAATTTTCACCATGTTATAAGTTTGAAAGTCAGTAATGTGATCTGTGTTGCATTGTCAATAAGATGTATCACAACTAAATTTCTTCTACTATACGGTATGTATCATGAATTCAATTGCTCAACAGAAAACATATAATTGTATGTATTTTTACCCAACGAAAAAAAAACAAAAAACCACAATGTTCAGCCCTAATGAATGTTCAGGGACCATAGATTTTACATGTAGTGATTATCAATTATCATTAAATTATCACTACAATTATCATCTAGAATATTATAAAAACTATTATTTCATGGTTAAGGCAGATCTCCGTCATTATTGATTAAAATGATGCAGTAAATACCTTTAACAAATTGCAGTTTTTGCATATTGATGACATGTCTATGATACAAGTTTAAACACTTTATTGTACACCCACCACATAATGGGGAGGAGGCTATAGTGGAATCATTCTTAGTGTGAGTCGTTCTGTTGGTCTGTCCATACGTTTCCATCATGTGTGTTTTATAAATATTTTTATACCCCCGCACAACAAAGTTGTAAGGGGGGTATACTGGAATCAGCTTGTCCGTCCGTCCGGCTGTCCGGCCGGCCGTCCGTCGGTTTTTTCTTGTCCGCCCAATAACTTAAGATTCCTTTGACCCTTAGTCTTCATATTTGGCATGGAGGTTAGTCATGATTAGTAGATGACCCCTATTGATTTTGAGGTCACTAGGTCAAAGGTCAAGGTCACAGGGGCCTTGACTTCAAAAAGCTTGTCCGCCCAATAACTTTAGATTCCTTTGACCTACAGTTGTCATATTTGGCATGGAGGTTAGTCATGATAAGTAGATGACCCCTATTGACTTTGAGGTCACCAGGTCAAAGGTCAAGGTCACAGGGGCCTTGACTTCAAAAGCTTGTCCGCCCAATAACTTAAGATTCCTTTGACCCACAGTCTTCATATTTGGCATGGAGGCTAGTCATGATTAGTAGATGACCCCTATTGACTTTGAGGTCACCAGGTCAAAGGTCAAGGTCACAGAGACCTTGACTTCAAAAAGCTTGTCCGCCCAATAACTTAAGATTCCTTTGACCCACAGTCTTCATATTTGGCATGGAGGTTAGTCATGATTAGTAGATGACCCCTATTGATTTTGAGGTCACCAGGTCAAAGGTCAAGGTCACAGGGGCCTTGACTTCAAAAAGCTTGTCCGCCCAATAACTTAAGATTCCTTTGACCCACAGTCTTCATATTTGGAATGGAGGTGAGTCATGATTAGTAGATGACCCTATTGATTTTGAGGTCACCAGGTCAAAGGTCAAGGTCACAGGGACTTTGACTTCAAAAAGTTTGTCTGCCCAATAACTTTAGATTCCTTTGACCCACAGTCTTCATATTTGGCATGGATGTTGATCATGATTAGTAGATGACCCCTTTTGATTTTGAGGTCACTGGATCAAAGGTCAAGGTCATAGGGACTTTGACTTCAAAAAGTTTGTCCACCCATTAACTTAAGATTCCTTTGATCCACAGTCTTCATATTTGGCATGGAGGTTGATCATGACTATAAGGTGACCCCTATTGATTTTGAGGTCAATGGGTCAAAGGTCAAGGTCACAGGGACCTTGACAAAAAAAAGCTTTTCTTCTCAATTGCTAAAGAATGTCCTGTCCGCAATGTATTGATTTTGACATTTTCACATTTGAAGCATGTAGAATACATAACTTAGCAATGCACTGGCTTAGTAACCTCAGATTTGGCAGGGAGGTTGTCATTGAGCTGTAAATGGCCACTGTTGATTTTGACAGAGTGGTATGCGGGGGTATTCACGCCATGATAGTGGCAGTTCTAGTTCCCCTTGAAGGATATGCTTCAAACTATGCTAAAATATTAACCTCTAAAATGTGATGTGCAGAGCGCATGTAACAGCTGTGCTTAATCAAGGCCACTTCTGTAGGTCAAAGGCCAAATATCAGTCAAATTTGTGTCTTCTCTACAAATCCTATAGCCTTTGTAGAATTTCTTCAAATTTTGAACATTTGTTCACCTCAACAAGGCCCTCAGACAAGTTTGTGGCTGCTTTATAAATCCTGGCTCAGATGATCAGGTCAGCAAGGCAAATTGCAGAACCCATGCCACTGTTGTGAAGACTCAAGGTCAAAGTATTCCTTGAAGGTCAAATATCAGCCAATTTTGTGTCTGCTCTTTAAATCCTATACCTCTTGATGCTTTGTCTTCAAACTTGGCTCAAATGTTCACCTCAACATGGTAAAGTGCAAAACCCATGCTGCCACTATAGAAGGTCAAGGTCCCCCTTCAAGGTCAAAATGGAATCTTTTGTTTCTGCACTATTATATACTTTTCAAATGACTTTTCAATCTTAACTGAAACGTTTTCTTTCAAAAAATGATTATCAATTGCATTGCATAATATCCTGTGTGCTAGGGATAAGGTGTATTTGTTACTCTGTATATCAGTAGAATTTTATCTGACTTGATGCTTTTAGTTGCACAGTTTTATTATACAGGGCATATACAGGTATAATGAAACCCCTCAAATTGATAGTTCTCAGAGGGTATAAAGCTATATTTATACTTACCTAATATTGTCTAAGTAACTGCAAAGTGAATGGATTCTTAGCCAAGCAAATATAGGAGAATGATATGTTTTAAAGATTTGTAAGAACGAGTTACATGTAGTTAGTTTGGGAGTGTATATATCCCTGTGTGTATCCAATGAGAAAAACATTTGTTATTGTATTTATTTTTTTTAGAAATAAATAACCACCAATGTGTGAGGTTTTTTGTTTGTTTTATACATTGTATTTTGTTTTAGAAATAACCACCAATAAACACTGTAATGGTAAAATGTTTGAATGCTTTATGGTATGTATACATGTATAGAACCAGTTCTAGCTTTTTCATTGGATAATTGAAATCATGTTGACCACCATTTCACAAATTCAGCAAAGTTAGTGTTTACAATTGTTGAGAAGTTAAATAACAATCTGAATAGCATCTTCCATTAAAAGTGATAATAAATTACTTTTCTAGTGGATGAATATTAATTTAAAGAAATAGAATAAAGAACCTATCAAATGTTTTAGATTTGTTAATTAAAGACATGTTATTGTTATTTTTGTATTTCAATATACTATTTCCTTTGTTAGATGTAAGATTATATATTAATCTATGTTACTTGAAGCTATCTTAAGCTATTTTTGTTCCATATTAACTATTTACAGTATATTTTTCTTAACTTACATGATATGAACAATTTTTCATGTCAAAATGGATTTAAAGATATTCAATAGGTATCATAAAATAAAACAATAAACATTGAATACAATTTTATGCAAATGAAAACCATGATTATTTTTTCCTGTTATCAAGGATACCATAGGAGATGAACAAGCTCTTATTTCCATTGTAGTCCTATAAAACCATTTTCACCAAGTACCTGCCATTTTCATTATTTATTTGAGCCGTGCCACGACAAAACCAACATAATGGGTTTGCGACCAGCATCTGCGCAGTCTGATCAGGATCCATGCTGTTGGCTATCAGCTTCTCTACTTGTTATAGGGTTTGTAAGCGAACAGCATGGATCCTGATCAGACTGCGTGGATGCGCAGGCTGGTCTGGATCCATGCTGGTCGTGAACCCATTATGTTGGTTTTGTTGTGACGCGGCTCATTTCATTTTTTAGCATGATCACACAACAAATACTTGACAAAATGTTAGGGACATGCACTATATTTGTTTTGTGCATATTATTTATTAATGAGAACCTATCTATTTGTTATTTCTTATACAATGTATTGTACATGTTTTTTAATTTATCAATAAAGAGATAACTTTAATGTATAGAGCTGAATTATTTCAATTAAATATATACTACAGAACATTGACAGTAAGACAGCTTTTGATTGGCCGACAGAAAGGTCAAATGATCATGCCCTTTTCTCATTTTGTCATTAGATGATGGCTTATATAAACAGGTGTTTTAGGCTGATTGTGAAACAAGTTCATGCAACATATCAATCACCCACAAATCTGCTTTCAGTAATTAACCAGTACTAGCGTCCAATTAATATGACCAACAATTCCTGGGTGGAGAGGCTAAGACCGTAATCACTCGATCACGCTTCCATTTATATCTTAGTAAAGTGTGTTTGTTTATTCTTAGTGTCAAAGTAATGTAAGGATCGATATTCATGATCACAAAAATTTACTCTTAGCTCTTCTTTAAAGATTGGTAATTGTTTAAATACATTGTGCTCTGATTACATTCATTATGAGTCAATGGTACATGTACATTTTATCTCAGAAAATCAGTGTACATCTGTATTCTTTTAAGAAGGTGACATTAAGAGTTACTCATGCATGCTTCACAGTGGCATAGTGTACAAAATGTAATTAAAATATTTTTGCAAGGCTTTGACGTTTTTTACAGAAAACATTTTATTATAAAATTTGATATGCGTTTAATAACTAGCTGCCAATGCAAGTGAAAGTTGACATTTACAAAAGATAACAATGTTTACCCTATTATGTGGGTGTTGAATTGTGATATTATCTTTGTCAGTGTTCATTCGTGAATTAGTATGATCATTTGAATTTAATATTTTACACATGGTGATAGTTTCTGACATGTTTGGTTTAGACAAGTCAAACAAACATTGTGAAGGCCATATGGATTCTTATATGCCCCTTCATACAATATTTCAGATATTTGCCGGTGTAACGTTGTTAACTTACCCCCATAAAATAATGACCCCCATAAAATAATGACCCCCGTCATAATATTATGACTCCCCTACACGTTGAAAAATGACCCTCGCATAGAAAAGTGACCCCCTGTAGAATAATAACCCCCACCCCAACCCAAACTATAAAGCCCTTACTGGACTTTTTCAAAGAAACACTCCCAATATAATTATCTCAGATGAGAAATATAGTAATTTCAATTTTTTGTGCGTGTGTCCGTGCGACCGTGCAACGATTCGACCTATTATTGGACGAAATAGTTTCAAAATCTCGGGGATAGCTACTTTAATCGAAGTCCAGCCTCAGTCTGCATTTTTATGCCACCGCAGCATCTGCGATGCGGTGGCATATAGCGATTCACCTGTGTGTTTGTTTGTGTGTGTGTGTGTGTGTTATATAGATTATATAGTGAACTTAAAAAATCTTCTTGTGAAAAACCACTAGTCCAATTTCAACCAAACTTGGCAGGATTGATCCTTGGGTGAAGGCCTTCCAAAGTTGTTCAAAGAATTTCATTCCATGCAGAATTCTGGTTGCCATGGCAACCAAAAGGAATTATAAGAATAAATTTAAAAAATCTTCTTGTAAAGACCCAAAAGGCCTAGAGCTTAGATATTTTGCATAAGGCATTGTCTGGTAGACCTCTACCAAGATTGTTCAAATTATAGCCCTGGGGTCCAAATCGGCCCCGCCCCGGGGGTCATTGATTTTCACTATATGTACATATAGTAAAAACTTAAAATACCTTCTTGTCTGAAGGTACCAGGCTTAGAGGTTTGATATTTGGTATGTGTTATTATCTATAGGTACTCTACCAAAGTTGTTCAAATTTTGCCTCTAGTGTCAAAATTAGCCCTGCCCCGGGGGTCATAGGTTTTCCTCATATGTATATAGTAAAAACTTAAAAAATCATCTTCTCTAAATTGACAAAGGCTAGAGGTTAGATATTTTGCATGAAACATTGTGTAGTGAACCTCTAGCAAGATTGAACAAATTATAGCCCTGGGGTCAAAATTGGCCCCACCCCCGGGGGTCATTGATTTTCACTATGTACATATAGTAAAAAATTAAAAAATCTTATTGTCTGAAGGTACAAGGCTTAGAGCTTTGATATTTGGTATATGATATCATCTATAGGTACTCTACCAAAGTTGTTCAAATTTTGCCTCTAGTGTCAAAACTAGCCCTGCCCCGGGGTCATAGGTTTTCCTTACATGTATATAGTAAATTTTTACTTTAAAAAATCATCTTCTCGAATTGACAAAGGCTAGAGGTGAGACATTTTGCAGTAAACATTGTGTAGTGAACCTTAAGCAAGATTATTCAAATTAAAGCCCTGGGGTCAAAACAAAAAAAATGTGTTCCTACATTACTATTTTAGTGTTGTATTTATGCGGTGGCATAGCATTTTTTACAAATGCAATCTTGTTTACAAATGACAACGGCTAGGGATATGTCATCCGACTGCAGTCCTTGTTTGTTCTTATTAGCTTGGCTAAACAAAGTATTTGGAGTGCTGTCCTACTCGCCACGAAGTCGGCGTCCGTGTCCAGATTTAAGATAAACGTTTTGGTGCAATAAAATATTTTTCACTATAACTTTTTCATTTCTTAAAGTATAAACTTTATACTTCAAATATATGTTCCTTATCATCAACAACAAGGTTCACAACTCTAGTTCCAATATTTTCAGATTTATCTCCCCTTAAACTTAGAATTTTCCTTAATTTTTTACAGTTACTTCTTTATTAATTAAGGAATAACTTTCATACTTCAAATATATGTTCCTTAACATAAACCACATCTTATGTAACAAGGTTCATAACTCTAGCACCGATATTTCAAGAATTATCTCCCCACGAATTTAGATTTTTTTTTCTAAAAAAAAAAGTTTTTTTTACTTTTAAAGGTATATATTTACCTCTAAAAAGATGAAGGCCTATATATAGCTGAATTGCCTAAATGGAGGCCTCTGAATTCTATCTTTGTTTTGCCAGCTGTTATCGCGGCAGTAGCAGCAGCAGTACCATAAGCAGCAACAGGCACAACAACACGTATACGCAATTGTAATATGACGTTAACTTTACAGATTATTTTAGGTGGGGTCAATATTTTATATATAAGGGGGTCACTATTTTATATATAAGGGGGTCACTATTTTATAGAAGGGGTCACTATTTTATATAAAATAATGACCGGGGGCTCATTATTTTATGGGGGTCACTTTACAACGTTACACCGGCACCTGTCATCTCAGGTGTATAATAATGTTTTACATTTTTATGTAAGCATAGTATAAAATTATAAACTAGTGAACAGAATTTACTTAACCTTTGCACGATTAAAGAGATTAATGATCAACATTATTTTTTGTCCAATCACATTGCAGTATTTTTCAAATTTCTGCCAAGTCTATGTACTAACTAAATAAAATTTACTTAATCAGTCGTCTAACCAGTCTAACTAATTTCAATAATGCATTATATTAGGGAGGACTTAGAGGTGTGGTTTGCACTCTGAATTGTAAAATATCTAGGTAAGGCGGAATTTCAACTCAACACTTTGGCTTCAAAACAATGCCAAAAAGTGAGGTGTTTCTAAATGTGAGGATACAATCAATTTTATTACATAGATAATACATGTGGGGCGCGCAGAGACAAATGATTACATAGTAACTTTTTTATATCCTTTTAACTCTGAGAAAAATGTCTGTTATAAATTGCTGACTGTTTTAAACTTTATTTTTTCTAGAAAAAGTAACCAAAACATTATTTTCTTTCAGTTGATAGGAATGAACTGCATTAACAATCCATGATATTAAGAATACAATAATTACATTTTTTGGCTGGAAAACTCATTGTAAATGTACCCCCTTCAGACTTACTTAATATCAACGCTGGTGTTCCTCAAGGCTCAATATTGGGACCTCTTCTGTTTATTGTCTATATCAATGACATTGTCTTGGACATACAATCAATCATTAAACTGTTTGCCGATGACACATCTCTCTATCTTATCGTTGAAAACCCTATCACCGCTGCTGAAATCATGAACTTAGACCTTAACAAAATAAGTATTTGGGCAGATAATTGGCTTGTCAAGTTCAATCCGAGCAAAACAGAATCAATTCTTATAACTTAAAAACATCGATCACATAATCATCCACCTCTTTTTATTCAAATCTCGGAAGTAGAATCCCATAAACATCTTGGGAGTTATGTTATCCAACAACGGGCCCTGGTGTGAACACATTTCTAATATTAAACACAAAGCTTGGCAAAGAATCAATATCATGCGGAAACTTAAATTTACCTTAGACAGAAAGTCCATAGAAACTATTTACTTCTCCTTTATTAGGCCAATATTAGAATATGCAGACGTCGTATGGGACAAGAGGAACATGAATTGGAACAGATACAGTTGGAAGCAGCTCGAATCATAACTGCAGGAGCCACCAAACTAGTCTCACTATCAAATCTGTACAAAGAAACTGGTCTTGAAACTCTTAAATCTAGAAGGCTTAAACACAAATTAATAATGCACAACAAAATGACAAACTTACTGGTACCACCATATTTATCTTCTCTAGTCCCTGAATCTGTTGATGATGTCACTCCTTATAATCTTAGAAATGGTCATAATACCAGAAACATACATTGTAATACTCAATTCTTCTCTAACTCTTTTTTTCATTCTACAATCAGTGAGTGGAACAAACTACCTGTGGAAGTCAGAAATTCAGAAAGCATCGCCATATTTAAGAAAAAAAAACTAAAGTCTACACTTTCAAAAGTACCTATATACAATTACCACGGAACCGTAAGTCCCAAATCTTACACACACGACTTAGATCCCATTGCAGCATTCTAAAGGAAGATCTTTTTCTCTAAAAACATATACATGTAGATTGATGACCCCTTCTGTCAGTGCAGTGAAATTGAAGATTCATGTCACTTTTATTTTAATTGTAATCAATTTTCCCGCCATAGAGCCATATTCAAGGAACAGCTTCAACAAATAACAACAGTTACATTGTCAACTATACTGTATGGTGACAAAGGTCTCAGCGATGAAACAAATGCCAAAATATTTGATCTT